AATAAGCCAAGAGACATGCCAGATGACCGCTCCTTGTACGAAGAATACTGTTGCCAATCTTGGGAATGCATGAATGCTCGTGCCACAACAGGGGTTAATAATCCTTTCAATCGAGGCACAAACACCCCAACACTCACCTCTGAAGTTTGATTGGGACCATATGCTACAGAACCATCCCATAGATCACCATAGCCTAACAAGTTTTTGAACTTTAGAGCACCTTCAAGAGACCAAGAACTAGACTGCAATTCATCAGAGAATTTATTCAAGAGAAAGAGAGAAAGAGAGAAAGAACACTAGATTCACTTGTCAAGTATAGACACTCAGTAAGAATAGGCAATCCAAAGTCATGCAAACACTGTCAGGTCTATGCACGATGAATACACTATAGGCAACAAAAATATCTGTGTCCTAACTTGGCAAGGTCACCAAAATCCTAGCAAGCCACATAAATAAACATGGCACATATACCATCTTTCATCATGCTTTCTTTCCTAGATGTAAATTTTAAAAATATTAAAAGGACTCAACAAGGGCATTTCAATAACCAAAAAAAACCCAGCTGCAAGAAGAAGAAGAAGAAGAATCATAATCATAATCATAAGGCTCAGAGGATCTATGGACATGATGCCAATGAAACATGAACTTATGGGAATCAAAATCAAAGCGCAGTTACAACTTACAATTAGATAAGGTATTCGGAATTTCATCCATATCCATTGTAAAGTATATTCCAAAAATCCACTATAAAGTATGTTCCTTGAAATACTTCTTTCCAACCAAATAGTCTGCATCAGGTAAAATATAAATAACACTGCAATATATTATTCCTGCTCATCTATAACCATACTGCTAACAGCTAAGAATATACAGGTACAATTGTTTTTCTGCATCGTAATGCATTAATTGGCTGTATCACGGCTGCCACTTAATATTAAAAGGTCATCACGTAGAAAAATCGACCTACACCTTTAACACCCTTATTCCTCAAAAATCTGGGAGAAGTCAAGGTGGTGTATGCATCCAAAGAGAATAATCGAAGGTCGTACTAAAAGATGACAAGGACTGCACAGGGGCAAGAGTAGCTGCTTTCTCAAAACTTAACTGGAGCCTCTCAGAAGCCTAACGAATAGCCAATTAAACAAATAAGTAAAGATAAGTGGGCATCAATGGTGCTACAAGCCATCATTTTGCCATTCAAAACATGACTTCTAATCCACCAAATGATTACAAAGTATAAAAAGCTACTACCATCAAAGATAGAAGAAGCTTCTTAATCCTAGAATGGTCATATTGGACAAATCCGGAGCACCAAAAACCTTCTACCCAGTTCAAATCCCAACTTTTCATAACTCCTTAGTTTATGATGCTTGCCGTTGTAGTTATCTCAATATATATATATATATATAAAAGGTAAGAGATTTTGCGGTACTTCAAGTGTAGAAAAGCATCCTGAATGAAAAGGTACGACTCCAAACCTAAGAGGAAATATATGGGCTTGCTGGAACTCACACAACAGAACCAAAATTTCCGGTTTCATCAGCAATAATTTTTGTTGTCTAGAATCTAAGCGGGCTTAAGATAACCAACACCAAATAGGTTATGCTTTTACTGGCATAGATCTGCAACGTGTAATGACATCTGATAAACCAACTAAAACGAATTGCTATTTTAGATATGTCATTTTATTTGTGCCTGCGAAGTCCACATACTGTAAATTTCTTTATAATGCTTCAGATCAGACTACTATCTTGCATGCCAACCGTAAATTATTAAATCATTTTAAATCTTCAATTCATTTACTTGTGACACCTCAGCAGCCAAACGCCACAGTTAACTCTCCAGTAATCCATGAACTGCAAATTGAACCACACAAAAACGATTCAATCTCGAAATAGTATCTAAGAAGGAGAGAAAATGACTGTACCGAGGGTTTTGAATAAACGCCAACTTCCCCAGAAGGTTTGCTATCGCTCTCTGAGACCTCAATGATGACATTGGCAGTACCAGCCAACTCTGGCGGTCCTGGTTCAAGCTTAATATTGACCGCATCAAAAATCTGGAGGCCATGAAGTTTCACATTGGCAATTTTTGCCGCTTCCACCAGCTCTCGCATAGTTGTGGCGTTCTTTATCCCCTCCACCTCGACCTCGATCACCCAATCCTTGGTTTTCGTATTCCCCCTTATTAGAACATCATGGACTCGAGCAGGAAGATCCTGTTCTTCGTTTTCTTCATCATCCTCGACTTCCTCAGAGTCATCTTCTTCATCGTCTTCATTGGAAAAATTCTGTGTATCGTAGCCATTTTTAGGGATTGGGGGAAATGGAAGTGGATTGTCTTCTTCTGAGTTTGCCATGAGAGGTCACCAGAGTAAAGAGAGAATCGGCGAAGCGGAGGAAGCTCCGCAAACAGAAGGAAGACGGCGACGCAGGAGCAGATGGTGATTACTGGGATTATTGAATACTCACTAACCGTTCCAGATGTTTTTTTTTGGATTAAAAAACAGAATTCTGTGACATTTTTAACTTTTCAATATACGTCCATAGTTTCAATATATATATACGTCCATAGTTAATACTCCTCCGATCTTTAATATAGGACCCAATTTTTGAGTTAATTTTGGTCCTAAATATAAAACTCATTTATCATATTTATCAATTTTCTCTAAATTACCCCTATAGATACTCCCTCAACCATAATCAAATAGAAAATGGAGATGGGGTATTAAAAAAGACGATTATAGTGTTTTAGGAAAAATGTGTCACTTTTCTTATAATTAACTAACTTACCTACCTTCTTTAATCTAATCAAATTAGTTAAATGGGTCTTATATTAAGGACCGGAAGAGTACTAATTTCAGTTTTTAATACAAGAACTTATTTAATTTTTATTTTGGTTCTAAATATAAAATTTTAATCTATTTTATCTGTTATATTTATCTATTTTTTAAGATAATTATTCTAATAATGATAGTTCTAACAAATAAATTTGATTAGTAAAAATATTTTGATAAAGACAACACTTCTTTACTACATACAACTAACTTAACTTGTATTCTTAACCTATTCAAATTAATCAACTAGATTTTATATTTAAAATTGGAGGGAGTATAAAATTTGTAGAAAAGTCATATGTCACGAAGGGTGTGCAACAATAGGATCCACATTTTAGATTAGAAATGGAAATGCTAACTGAAAATTTTGAGCTGCAATTTTGTTATAAAGTTTTCAATTTTTTAATTTGTGATTCTAATTATAATTGATTTTGTAATTATATTCATAAAGTACTTTTTATTCATTTTTCATAGAATGTAAATTGTCAGAAGTCAGAACACTCCCAAATGAGGAAAAACACAATTGCACACCTCAGTTATAAAACCTTTTTATTTATTCATCTAATTTTGCCAACAACCATTTTATTATTTTTTTTGCCGACCAACAATCATTTTATTATTGATGTCAAAAGAAAATATCATCCAAATATTACAAAGATAAATTAAAATATAAACTATGAACAATATGCGAGTTGGAATTTATTCAGATGATCTGTGTTAACAAAATTACAAAAATAGAATCACCTTTTTCTTTTTTAACATCAAAATCACTCGCGCACTAACGTAGTTTGGTATGGAATATTGAAGGAAGGATCCAAATATATCTCTAGATAAATATTATGACAAAACACACCCCAGAACTAACGCACAAAAAAAAAAAAGCATGTGTAATTGAATTGTAAAGGATAGTACTCCTCCAGTCCTTAATATAAGACTCATTTAACTAATTTGATTAGATTAAAGAAGTTAGGTAAGTTAGTTAATTATAAGAAATATGACATGTTTTTCCTAAAATACCATAATCATCTTTCTTAATACCCTTCTTTTTTTTACTTGATTATAGTTGAGGGAGTATCCATAGGGGTAATTTAGAGAAAATTGATAAATATAATAAATGAGTCTTATATTTAGGACCAAAACCAACTCAATAATTGGGTCCTATATTAATGACCGGAAGAGTATAATGTTATTAATATGTCGATTAATAGTATAACATTATTCAGGTAAAAAAAATAGTATAACATTATTAACAATTAACAATATAATACACTTTCCGTATTCTATATAATATAAATAATATAAGCTATTTTAAATCTTAAATTTATAGCAAAAGCGAAGATGTGGGAGGTCCCTTAACCTAACCAAATGATATTTGATATATTCTTACATTTGAATATTAATAACTGTAGGCTTTGTTTATAATAATTTATAAGCAATTTTTTAATCATATTTTATGAAAAGAATACGAGATAAATATGTAAAAATTATTTCTTATCTAAAATACTCACTCCGTTCCTTATTATAAGAGACATTTGATGCTTATGCCATGTTCCTATATATAAGAGACACTTAAAAGTTGTCTCTACTTTTTTGTGTTGATTTCCTATTTTACCCATATTTATTGTCTAACTCACACTCTCTCTCCCTCTCACTCTTTCTTTCAATAATTAATTATTCTCTCTCATGCTCTCTCTCCTATTAATGAGGGCATTTTGGAAAAAAAAATATATTGTTGTTCTTAACTAATTTTAACTGCTTTTTTTATCAACGTAATTTGGTTATTCGTCTCTTATAATAAGGAACGGAGGGAGTACTTTTTAAGTTCTTATGAATTGCTATCCAAACAAGCACTTAGCTTGAAAATCCTAAAATTGAAAAAGAAAAAACAAAATACGAAGAACTTGATCAGCTGAACTTAATCACCATTAGTTTTCAGGTGAAAAAGTTTAATTTGCAGAGCTTACAGCATGATACATAATCATGGGGATTTTTATTGGTGTTTTCACATTGTAAATACAAAGGTCACTCTAGTTAAAATTAAGAGCAAAGCAATAACAAATTATTATGTGTTAAAATGATATTGTCTTCTCTTTATTATGGAAAGGGGAAAATAATCGCGACCTCGCCGCTCAGCGCGCTCATGCTCAAATTCAAATCGGGCGAAGTGTAATCGGCAGCATCACAACCAATAACGTCCACCGCCGCCGATCGTGCTCCGAAATGGCCAGCCAAGACCTCTTCACTTCCTTAATCTCCGACATCGAGACCTACTCTGGCAAAGACCCTCTTCTTCCTTGGCTCCGGTATGCCTTTTCTCTCCCACTCCCCCTCTCTTCACTCCTCTAACATTCAAGGCCACTTACAGTGTGAGTTGGTGCAGAGGGATTCGAAAGATGAAGGACACTCTGTCTCCCGCGGCCCTCCATGAGAAGCTGCCGGATTTCTTACAGAAATGTGCACAGACTTTCGAGTCGGATCGACGCTACCGGAATGACATGCGGTATCTTCGGGTTTGGCTGCACTTGGTAACTGAAGCATCGTTTTCCTTTTTCAATTGTTATTTGCAGCTAATTGATAGATTTTTTCAGCGTATGCTTAGTTGCTGAGAAATGGGGTTGAAAAGAGTGATGAAAAAGCTATGATTTTTTTATAAAAGATAGCTATTATTTGAGTTATTGTGTTGATTTTAGGAAGTTCATCATCCGCTTCCGGATTAAATAAAGGGAAGATCAAATGGTTTATTGTCTTTTTCCTTGATTTTCAGATGGATTTTGTAGATGACCCATTGTCGCTTTTGAAAACGATGGAGGTGAATCATATTGGGACAAAACGCTGCCAGTTCTACCAAGCATATGCTCTTTACTATGAAAAGAACAGGAGATATGATGAGGCTGAGAAAATGTACCATTTGGGAGTGAAGAAGTAAGTTTTTATGCAGCAATCAGCAATCACCATTTTTGTTTGAATTAACATTATGCTAACAACACACTAACATTCAACTCCCGCACATGTTTTACAGTAAACTGCACATTATTCCGAAAGACAAAAACCTTATGAATAAGAAAAATATTACCTTCGGTCCTAAATATAAATCTTTGTAGTGTGATTTGAGTAAATCTTAGGACCGGAGGTAGTATTATTATGGCCCGTCGAAATGTGTCTAATGCCATGACAATCCTCCAGTGATCTTAAATTTGCTATCTTTTGCCCCCAAATAATTGATGTTCCGCACACCTCCAGTGAAATGGGAATCAATCATCAATACTCATCAAACCGCCATTTCATTATGTCACAGAGTTCAATCTCGGTGCATATATTTTTCTAAATGAATTTTATCTTCTGTTATCTGAAAACACATTAATGCCTGTAATAAGTATTTTGTTTTGTTTTTTTTTTTTTTTTAATTCTCAATGATCTGTACAGAGGAAAGATATATAATTTGAACGTGAGAGTGATTTACCTTTTAGCTTATTGGCATAGTAGATGTAGAATATTATACTGTTTAGCTGGTAGTAGACGCCTATGAGCCTATCCTACCCAAATCTTTCAACTATCATCTTCTTTTTCCTTTTGTGTCGAGCAGCCTTGCAGAACCCATGGATGACTTGCAAAAATCATATGAACAATTTCTTGGTCGCATGGAAAGAAAGAAAAACAGAAAAATCCAGGTAGTGCCCGTGGATGTGTTCTTTTTGGCCTGAATTTCTTTGTTGTTTGTGACATTCAGTGACATAATTTTAGAAAGATTTCCATCAGCAGCAGGAAGGGAGAGCTTCCCGGAGGCCTCTGTCTACGAAGAATATTCCAGCTCATATCAACAAGACCGAGGGGAAAGGTGAAGCATGTGGTATTGAGAGTAAAAAGGATCAGGGCAAGAGGTTTTTAGATGAACCGACAGTTGTAGGCAAGTTTGTTGGCACTGCCCTTGTCGGAAGGTCTGAAGCCGAAAATGCCTGCCATCATGGACTTGTGGATCCTACAATAAATATGAAGGAAGCAATGAATGCGATTAACAATATGTTCCGTGAGCCACTTGAGGATGTTCCTATAGCCAAGAAATCACACAAAAACCGATCGAAGGAAGATCAATTTACTCCGAAGGGATTGGAGGTTTTTATTGATGAAAGCTCGGATAATGGAACCAAATCATCAGCTTCTCCATCTCTGCAGCACAACAATGAAGCAGGCCAATTCCATCAAGAACCACTTCAAATATACATTGATGATGAAGGGCCTGGTGAAACTAGTGACATAAACGATGAACAGAGTGGTGTCCGGAATCTGCCAGAAGATTTTACTTCCTCTGCTTCTCGATTGAATGCCTTTGTCTTTCCCCGTCCTAAGAACCTTCCTTCTGAAAGTTCTGGAGGTATGGATGCGCGGAGTTCCCGTAAGTCAAAGTTCAGAGAGGATACAGTTGTCCGCCGATTTGTTGGATCCACCATTTTGGATGAGCCAGTGGTAGAAAATGTTTGCCATCATGGTTTAGTAGACCCCACAATCAACATGAAGGAAGCTATGAATGACATAAATAACATGTTTGGGAAACCAATGGATTTTGTTAGACGGAAAAGATCGATGAAGCAGGAAAAGGCACCGGAGTGCAATAACAGAAAAGAGTGTGGTGGGTTTTCGATTCTTGCTGATGATGACTTGGAAAATAAAAAAAGTCCACAGCCTCCCAAACTGGCAGGGAAGTCAACGAATTCTGATTTATTTGAGCCAACTCTCATCACTAAGGAGGCAATGGACGACATAAACAAGATGTTCAATATGCCATTGAATTTTTAAGAGCAAATTGATTGATTGGTGATAGTGATATGTACCAAAAACTGCAAAAATATTGAGTTCTAACAGAGTTGCCTTTGATTTGCCTGGGGTAATCAAATGCGAGTTGTCTATTCTGTGGTGTCTTCCTCTTTCTGTCTTGTGCGAACCTTTTTGCTTATGAAATGAAACTCAAATTCAAGGGGAAAAAATTGCTTCATGATATTGCACTCTAGTTTATTACATGAATGTGACAAAAACACGGCGACAATTTCCTGCTAGATCAACATAATATAAAACAGCAACTGTCAAACATAATACTGAAACGGATCTCAATACAAATGTTTTAAAAAACAACCCTTCAGGCAACATTATTAGAATTGAGTAGTGTGAGAGCAATCATTGGGACGAAAAGCCAAGGGCCAGCAGCATATATGACAGCCTCGTATCTGCTTCCATGCACTCTCTTGTTCTCATAACGAAGTGGAGCGCCATCGAGTGCATAGTTGACATTGGACAAAACGCTGCAACTTTCAACAGGAGACCAAACAAGCTTGGCGAAGCAAGATTGGAGGGGATGATCCAACAAACAGTTCTGAACCTTGAACCCTTCAAGCTGAGCAAAAAGGTAGCCATGCCTGTTCGTCTCAAAGACCTTGTAGTAGCTAACTTGACCCTTGTAGTTCTTGCAGGTAACACTTACTTTTGCACCAGCAATGGGCTTGGCTCCAGTCAAAGACCAGGTTCCATATTGGTCACAGCTCTGACAGTAGACCATGGCTTCCACTACCACCTCTGTTTTCTTCTCCGTTGGGGCATAGTCATTTGCTCCTGTTGAAGGGAAGACCACTAGGAGAAGCAGAAGAGAAAGGGTAATGAGGTGCATGCTTGCCATTTCTCGTAGTTTAGAGTTCAGAGCTGAGGGACGAGTGACTCATAGTGGAAGAGATGGTATGTATATATAGTTTAGTGATATTCGGGAGAACTGCTTGCAACGTGCCCCCCATTAGGCCAACGACTCTGATTCTTCATAGCTGTCTACGTGGAAGCCACCTTCAAGGTTTCTTTCTTTCTTTTTTTAAATGAATTCAAGGTTGCATACTTGAATATGTGAGTAGATTTTTTTTTTTTGGGTACATGTAAATCGATAAATCTGCCTCGTGTTTTTTTTTTTTTGTTATACGAGAATATACCATGTGTTAGTTGTGTATCCTGTGACCAAAGCTTTGTTGGCCCCAAAAAGTCATGAAAGCTCTAGGAGTTTGGTACTTACGAGATGTTTTTGGGCTTTCTGTGCCGGTGGGTTGGGGGTCGACTTGATGTTTTGGGCTTGTAGGCTCGTTATTTATCAGTCAATATAAGGCCCGCTTGGGTTTTGGAAAGGAAGGAAATGAAATGTGTTACGATAGAAAAATAAAATGAACTAAAATGATAACGAACATTATAAATTTATGCAAGGGAAGATTAATTGAATGATAGTGAGATGTAAATAAGAATTCATATGTACAAAGTCATCAATCTATTTTGCTAAAAAAAGTCATCAGTCTAGATTTCCATTTTCAAGAAACAGTGATTATCATGGGAGAGATTATTTACACCATTATAGTCAATCAAATATAATTATATTAAAATAAATCATAAAAAATGCTTACGTTGAAAAATATTATAGAAGTGTTTGGATGGGAACTAAACCATATCTCTAAAAGTAATTTTAAAGTATACGAAATAAATATATAAAGGGATTTGTTTTGATTTGTTAAAAAGTGCTTTTTAAAAGCACTTTTGGTGATATAAGTGGACATATAGATCGGCTAGAAACAAGAATAGGATGAAATAAGACTTCAAGAGAACTTGCTTCTTGCAACTCCAAACACAAGAAACCAAGCGGATGATCAGAGTAGGACTTTAAGAGAACTCGTAATTTACAACCCTAGCCATGAAGAGACTGCAAGGTTGATTGGTCTCTTGATATTATCGAGTATTCTCACGAGAATAGGAGGATGCAAGCAATGTTCACACAAAGAGAAATAAAATTCTCATATTATTAATTATTTAAATCATCTCCCTCTAAAATACAAAAAATGTAGGCTATATTATAGGTGACTATAGAACATTCTAGAATCATAATCCTAAGACATAAATAGTAAAATGATATCTCATTAATTATTATTTGACTATGAGAGGCATCATTTATTATATAAAGAGAAAAAAATTTTACTCAAGCTCTGAGAACTAGTCTGCTATCTTAAAAATAGGAAACTGAATCAAAACAAAAACTTCTAGAATAATCATTGACCAAAAAGTTTTATTCAAAGTAAATAAAAAAAAGAAAATTCCTAAAAACGAATTTAAATCATAATTAATGCATAATAACACCTTCTTGATGCTTCTTGAATGTTCTTGGATGTCACATATAATCCTTGTCCAAAACACATATTTGTCACATGATATTTTAAGTGAATTCTTCAATCTATACTTCTCATAAGTCTTGTACATCATCTTGAACTTTTGTTGGGCTCACTAAATCATGATATAATGACTTTAGGAGTGGCCTATTACATGTCACATTAAAGCTTTGTATATGTAATTATCCATGTTATCTTTCAATCAATGATTTATGTCCTCTTTTATGTAAATATTCTTGAGTCCGAAACCCCTTGAATACTTTGAAGGGCTTGTAGGGCTTTTAAAGCAACGAGCATTTATGACCTTCATCTTGAACATTCCTTGATATGTTATCATTTGGGGTGTTCCAAACACCTTAATAATTACCATATATAAAGTCCGTTTGACATTTTATAAGGCTTGATTGCAAAAGTTAATAAAAAATTATAAACTTATCAAATGCTTGCAAAGGTTTGTATTCGTGACTCTTTTAACACATTAATATCCTATGCTTTGTAGAATATAAAACCCGAATAATTAATTTATAAAAATTAAGAAAATTGATTAACTAGATTGTTTATGAAAAATGTGTTTCATTTTTCTTTTATACCCTTCTTTCAACCATAGGATTAAATGTGGAAGATAGATAGCGAGAAAATTTATGTTTGCAGAAAAAAAATAGTGAGAAAAATTATGAAATTAAAAAAGGCAATTGGGGAAACCTAAAAACAATGAGATTTAAACTCAATAAGAATTTTTTGGCAAAAAAAAAACTCTTAAGAATTTTGATATACTATCTCCGATTCTTAATATAAAAACTAGTTGACTAATTTGAGTAGATTAAAAAAGCTTGTTAAGTTAGTTATTTGTAATAAATATGTGTTATCTTTTTTAGAATACTCTTACTAATCATATGTATTAATTAGAACTATCATTTAATAGAATCTTTAACATATGCAATATATTTAGACCAAATTAAATGTTAAACTAGTTTGATATTTAATTTGGTTCTAAATATAAGACATCGATCTACTTTATCTCTCATATTTATCTATTTTTCTCAATACAATTCCTGTAATAGTTACACATATTAAATGATGTATGAAATAGTAATTTTGGCTAATAGATTAGCAAAGGCATTTTTGGAAAGTCAACACGTGTATTACTAATAACAAACTTTAACTAATTTTTTCAATCTACTTAAATTAACCAATTGGTTTTTATATTAAATACTAAAGGTAGTACTACCTCCGATCCTTAATATAAGACCCCATTTGACTTTTATTTTGGTCCTAAATATAAGACCCCAATCCACTTTGTCTCTTATATTTATATATTTTTTTCCAAAATAGCTCTTCTAATAATGATAGTTCTAATCAATACACTTGATTAGCAAGGATATTTCAGGAAAAACAATACATATTTAGGACAAATAACTAACTTAACTTACTTCCTTAATCTCCTCAAATTAGTCAACTGGCTCTTATAATTAGGACCGGAGGTAATATTAGACTTCCCTTTAAATCTGAGGGTAGTGTCAAGGGATGAAGGTAGTCTTAGACTTTCCTTTAAATCATACGAAGTCTTAGGCCCCTCTTCCGTCAACAACTGTTCACCAGCCACCACAAACTTGGTCACAAATCACGACCACCAAGCAACTACCATTGTTGCGGCGCCGCCACTACCGTAGCATCAATGCCCACCGTTAAGTTAATTTTGTTTTATTATCTTCCTTCACATGTTCTGATAATTTGAATCATTCACATTCAATGCGTTTAAACTCTCTACAGAATTTCGGTTAATTGTATCAACAACATATAATAAAACATCTTGAAATTCAGTAGAATGAATCAAAAGATTGACGTTATGTAAAACAATACAAGGGGGTTATACCATATTTTAGAACACATCATTATTGTCGTTGTTATTTTGTGACCAGAATCAACTGGGAATTCAATAGCTGTCGTACAAAATAAAAAACTCAGATTTATTGAAGATCTCCACCATCATACGACACTGCAGGCCAAATTGTCCGCCGTGTATTCATATTCCAGCTGCAAAGTCTGGTTGTCCACGCGCAAATGCAAAGGCAATTACTAAAATAGCAAGTCATCGTTCATGTTCCCAGTTCCTATCTGTCGGCTTATAAGACAAAGTCTTGGTTAATGCACATCTTCTTAATTCCTATCTTTATCATCAACTTAAACTTCATTTCCAATCAAAGAATGTGTACATGTGTGGGGTGCATGTTATTAGTATAACAAATTATAACATGTCTAATTTTTATGACTTCGATAGGCCAAAGAATGGAGGAAGAGGAGTGAGAAAGAGAAGGGTAGTAATTAATACTGGAACTGTGTGAAACCCCTTGGTTGCTGTACTTTCCACAGCAACAAAAGAAGGGGAGGTGAGTCTAACCAGGGAGGAAAAAAAACAAAAAACAAAACAAGCAAGCGAAGGTATTCCCCACATATCTCTTTTATCGCCTTATGTACATGTAAATTCGCAATCGAGAAAACTAAATACGTGTATCGACCTTCAGGTGAGTACTCTTTGCGCCTTCACCGACAGAAAAACGATCAGACTATTGAAAGCTCCTTCCTTTTTACAATCTGAAACTCCCTATCATTTAGCTTGCATCTGCTGAACAAATCTCAAGCTCTGCCCACCAGAGTGGAGAAAGTCTTGGCACTGCTGCATCAGGTGTTATGTTTGTTATTTCTCTCAGTCTCATACTAACATCTTTCATACTTGGTCTTTGCTTAGGATCAGGATGAACACAAGATTTGATCAGTTCAGCAACTTGTTCTAACTTCTCTTCATCAAAAGAGGCTAGAGTTGGATCGACCATTTCTCTCAAGGGATGATCCACTTGTAAATAATCTGATGCCCAGTTTTCAAGTGAGCTGTCATCAACTGAATAAGGGACTCTGGATGTTACCATTTCAAATAGTACAACACCAAAGTCATAAACGTTGCTTTGTGGACCTGCTAATGGATTATCAAATTGTTTTCTGCCCTTGGTCTTCATCTCAGATGAAGCTATTTCATATGAGAAACTCAGATCTGCAATTTTTGCAGCATAGTCCTCGGTGAGAAAGATGGAGGAAGAGTTCATATTGCTCAGGGCTACAGGAGGGTCTAGCTGGTGCACGTATTGCAGGCAGTATGCCATGCCCATTGCAATTCTAAGCCTTGTTCTCCAATCCAAGTGCTCAGCTTCTTTTACTGCAAGTGCCAATATGTTCACATGCATGAGTCATTTTCCAACATAAAACACCAAAAGAATGACAGAAACCCCTCTTATTCTAAGGAACTAATCTTGCATTTGAATGAAAAATGGATACATAGGGAAAGAAACATAGCGAACAAATAGAACAAATTTCCAATATGATCAAACCTAAAATGCTGATGAACTCTACAGTTGGTCAAATTGAATCATGCTGTTGTGGGGTGCCAAACTTATATATATGCCTGTCTATGCACGTTTGACTACAAATATCAGTATTTAAGTCTAGGTTCTAGAATGCCACATAAAAATTTTTCAGATCGCCAATAGCCAATGGTTAAGATCGGTCATCATGAAATTAAGCACTCCTTAGAGTATGTAAATCAGTAACTAGCAATCACCATATCATTATAACAATGAATACACATTTAGAAATGAGGAAATTGAGATACTTTCAGAATATTTTCTGTGTGATAGAACACTGAAATTATATGTACTCACTGTGTAAATGCTCGAAGAGAGTTCCATTGGGTGCATATTCAAAAACCATCATTCTGGTGAAAGGTTCCTCTTCCTCACAATATCCAAGTAGATTGACAAGGTTCTTGTGATTCACTTTCGATAACGAGTCAATCTGAAACCATAATCACAGTAAGAGTAGGCCATATTTGAAAAGGCAGCACATAATCGAATGATCTTGTTGATCTGTATAGTGTGATACCTTTTTCCTAAACTGTACTTCTAAAGTCTTTGACCAAGCATTCGATGATGTCACGGTAACAGATGCCACCGCAATTTCAACTCCGCTAGATAAAGTCCCTTTGTACACTGTTCCGATTGGTGAGGTGCCAAGTACATTGCTAAAGTCTTCACATGCTGCCACGAGCTCGGACCTTTTTAACTTTGGCACACCTACAGTTTCAAACGTCTGTCAGAAAGGATAACAAATATATTTTCAAAGACAAAAGTAGCCCATTATCATGTCATGTCAATGGGATAGAACCAATCAAATTAAAGTTGTCCCTGTCTTGTCTTTCTCATGTTGCAGGAACCCTGAATTTGCGTGCGTGGAGGTAAACTGAAATTTCCAGCCATTGTTCCATTCTCATAAAATTACAGGGGGAAAAAAAACTCAGATGTACCTGTTACAAATGCCTTCTGAAGCTGCCCACTTAGTCCTGTTGCCCAAGGCTTGACAGTAGTAACTTTGTTGGTTCTACAGACATATATGCCGGCAATTAAAATAAGAAATACACCACCACCTATAGCTCCCACCAAAATTGCAACATGATTTTTTGAAAAACTTTTCGATCTTGCTTCGGGTATCTTTGGAGAAGGAGATGCAGATGTATTTCTACCAGGGGAAGTTTTATTTGGTTTTACAGGCGCTACTGCTGAAGGGGGCGGGGAAATTGATGGAGGGTGTGAAGGGGATGGAGATGGAACAGGGGCAGGGGCAGGGGCAGGGGCAGGGGCAGATGCATGGGCAGGGGCAGGGGCAGATGCATGGGCAGGGGCAGGGGGCAATTCAGCTGTGCGGTTACTGCCCTTTTGCAGGAGTCTTCGCAGAGCTACACCGTCTTCACCAATATTCCTGTGAAAATAAATTTAAAAAAAGAAAGATGACTTAGATTTGATAGTAAAAATTAGCCAAAATATGTCACATTGTCACCCAAAAAAAAAAAAGCCAAAATATGGTCTGGCGGGTAACAATGAACCCTAGAGGAGGGCAATTAAGATTTATGAAAATTAACCACCTTTTTTACAGTAAAAATATTACTTTTGAAATCTAAATCATCCTTTTTGATTGTAAAAAGATGATTTAGATTTGACAGTAAAAATTAACCAATTAAGGAGGAAGAAGAGTGAACCCGGATTTTTGAAAATCTCATAGAATATAAACCCAAAGGAGACCACTTTTCAATGGATTGGAGATGACATACTGTGAAATGGATCTGCTCGCACAAGACGGCAATTTCGCTGCACCAGTTAGCTGGTTTTCATCCACTTGACTTTCAGAAAGCATCTTCAGTTCATTAATTTCGGGAGAGAACCCACCAAGAAGCTCATTGTTGTCCAGCAAACTGCAAGAAGAATTAACTCAATACATAATCGCAGAAGTTCTTAAAAATTGAGTTGTCTAAAGTGTATAAACCTACAGCATGGCTAGGGAGATGTTACTCCCAAGATCTGCTGGTAGAGATCCACTGAAATTGTTGTATCCCAAATCCAAAACCTCCAACTCTTTTAACTCGGCAATTTCTTCTGGAATGATTCCATAGAAAGAATTGTTTCGCAGAATACTGCAGTATATTCACAGCGATTTTATCAGGCAACCGGAAAAAAAAGAATTAAATAATTGACGAAGTTTACACACTGCGCAATGCATCCAAGCGGCAAACATCTTACATGGACTTTACATGAACAAGCTTCGCAAGCTCAGGTACCAGAGTTCCTCCAAGGCAAAGATCTTTCAAATTCCTGAACAACAGAAGCATTTCTCACGATTAGAAGAACCACAAGATTGAAAAGAAATCAGAGGTCAAGGTAAAAATACTAAGTCAACTATATCAACAATGGCACAGTGCTGCTGGAATGTAAGAAGTATCACGAGATGATAAAATTGGTAAATTTGGCATTAAAAGAACATGAATACTAGTCATATACACACGATTTCTCTGCTATCCAACGGTTTCCGCGATAAATCATAGAAAAATAAATATATGAAAACAACTCAATGTCACATAAATGAAAGATCCTAGCAAAAAGATCTGTTCTTCTTCCTTCATATTGTTAGAAAACAAAAACGTCACTTACAAGACCACCACTCTCCCATCTACGCACTGAACTCGGAACCAATTGCACGGGTCAACTTCTCCTTCTTCATCAATCCAATTCGACAAAGCACCAAATGGGTCACTCAATATTCTCTGCCTCAACTTCAAGAGCGCTTTACCTGCCCAGAAACACCATATTCAGCTTCTATGGGATGGCGACAACTAAATATAGGGAAATACAGAATCTCACAAACCCAAAATTCCTTACCTTCGTCATTCAAAGAGCTGCATAGACCCAACAAGCTCTGAAAGAGCAACCACACCACCAAAAAGCGGAGAAGTCCCCGATGATCCTTGTACCGACTGAAATTCCAGTTACTTTTCATTATTGTTGCTAATCAACGACGACCGCACAGAAACAAAGGAACCCGGACTGTGTTTTGCAAGAAAGGAAGATGAACTGAGTAGAATCGCAAAGCTCTTCAGCGTCTCTGGCTACGATTAATTGAAAGGAAGATGGAGAAGCAAGAGAGGCGATATCAAAACCATGTTCCCAACACCTGCAAATTAGTTTAGACCCAGAAAGGTTTGAAAACGCGTAGGCTCAAAATATAGCTCAATTTTTCGGTAAAAGAAATACTACTATAAAATACGCCGCACAGGAAATTTACACCGCGATGGCAGAAAGGCAAATTGCTGACTTGGAAATTTAGAATGGTTGATAGCAACGCGTATTTTAATTAGTCATAAATATCTCAATCAATATTAAAAATTAAAAATATATATAATAGATAATAGCATTCCCACAATTCATTCGAAATCTCTAATTTTCAGATCCTTACCCATAATGCTAGAGGGTAAATATTTTTCATATAATATAAAGGTTAAAATTTTTAATTTCAAAAATACTTTTATAGGAGTTATAAGTGCCTTAAAAAAACTACAAAGCAATATAAGGCGCTTGTGATATAACTATAGGTAGAAGATTGTTAATACCTTAATAAAACTACAACGCAATATTACACAAAATTGTATTTCTTCTAAACTATTTGCTCCTTTAATCTTAAAAGAAACTGTTAATTGTTAATAATGAGTCCGAAGATTTTTTTTAATTCTAACGTTATATTAAAAAAATGACAAAACTGTATTTCTTCTAAAATACTTTTGAAATGAAAATATGATATTTATCCATCTTGCCTCCTAAATAATCTCTATGGTGATTGCACTTATTAATGAGTCTCTATTAAAAGATAATTTCAATAAATATAATTAATATCAGTACTTTAACAAAGACAATATCAATTTATTACAAATAAATAACTTAATTAATTTTTTTAATATTAATAAATTAGTGATCTGGCTCTTATATCAAAAGTCAAAGGTAGTATCATCTTTAGTTTTTGAAATTTTACCTCATCTTTGTTTTTTTGGTAGATATAGGTATTCTCTTATTAGAGATAATTTTATTCAAAACACTGTCGAGTACTAAATGTGAACACTTCTTTTAATAAGATTTGAACTTTAGTTCATCATATTTTAGTGTTGGTTCATGAAATTTGAAATAAGTGGTTTTGGTCTTTAAAATTTAATCTTATTTTAGTTTTGATGTTTAAAATTTGACCCATCTTAATTTTGATCCTTATTTCAGGGAGCAAAAACATTGTTTTGGAGAAAAAAATCTTTCAGCAAATCAAAACCAAAACAAATGTCAAATTTTAAGAAGTAAATATAATATCATGTACACAAAAAAAATATATACTCCTCCAGTCCTAATTATAAGATCCAATTGACTTATTTGAGGAGATTAAGGAAATAAGTTAAGTTGGTTATTTATAATAAATAAGTGTTGTCATTCCTAAAATATCCTTGCTAATTAAGTATATTGGCTAAAACTATCATTATTAAAAAGATTATCTTGGAAAAAATACATAAATAAAGAGATAAAATGGATTGGGTCTTATAATTAGGACCAAATAAAAAGTCAAATTGGGTCTTATATAAAGATCGGAGGAGTATATAATATCAACCATAAAAAATGCAGTCTGACCTTGTATATAATTTGGAGCTTTAAATTTGTCTTCAGTTTTTTCCCTCGTAGGAAATAGATGGATGATGGGACATGAATGGCGGGAACTGTACCTGTGGATGATAGTGGTGAAATTGGAGCCAATGATCCGCCGGCGACTTACTTTGCTTGACTTCGTAATTGGGACAGAAATTGATGATTGTACGAGACAATATGTCCTTGTTTTGGACCTGGTAAAACCCACCTCTCTTTTATGGACGAGGCACTTTCCTGGAACTTGCACTCCCTTCGGTTCCCCTTTTCCTTTTTTTTTTTTAAATATATCCGGACTCCCCTGCAAATTCTTGCCAAAATGGCGTTGAATCAAGTAATTCTCTATTTTTAATAATGCTTGCTTGTGCCACTATTTGTTCCCATATTTATATGAAATAAAAAAATTTATAACAAGTCCATGTTCACAAATGGCAGTGGCAAGAGTAGGGCGAGTTTGAGTATAAAGGAGGGAAACCCAACTTTATAACAAATCAAGCCAAAGAAGCCGTGAAAGAGGATAGCCAATAATAATTATTACTAATAATTAATTAACGACTATATTTTTACTGTTTATTCCGTATAATTTAAATAAAGTGAAATTTCATAATCTAAATTATATTTAGATATTTTTATAAATAAATATAATATGTTCATCTTCCATGTGTGCATTAGTGCAGGCATTTGTGGCGGTCTCATAAACTAATCACTGGCACCTTGCGTAGACTTCTTTTTTTTTTTTGGGGATGGAGAATTCGTATTCCAACTTCCAACAACCATATTGGAATAAAATGATGGAATGCTCTGTTGGATCTATCCGAATGAAAATGAGAAAATGAGAATGATTTGATTAGTACAATACTCATCAATAGAATAATACAGCTCATATTAATTATTTGTAAATAGGGCGCAGTCAATCTCAGATCACTTCCAAAGGCATGAAACTTTCTCTACAGATAAACTAAACATATCATAACTCGATACATATAAATATAACTATTAAATAATTAATTTTAGAATATTAAAAAAATTGATTAATTTAGCTACTTGTCACAAATGTGTGTTGGTTCGTTTAAACTATCCCCTTTAATTATGTGTATTGAAATATTCTTCAATGGAAACCTCTTACAAACAATAAGAATATTTTGAAAATAAATAAGAGACAAAGCATATTGAAATCTTATATTTAAGATCAAGTTCAATTCTAAAATTAGTATCCCTTTATTGCTTTCTTAGACTTCTTAAAAACATGTACAATAGTACGACGATCTCTGTTGTGAAACAAAACAGAGAAGGAAAATAAAGAGCAAAAGACAACGAACTTATCAGGAATGCTTTTTATTTCTTTCTAACATAAACGAATACATCAGCTGCCTTTTATAACTCAAGGCTTTCAACTTATTCCTAAAATATCTCCTGAAATCTTGCTAGCACTCCCTCTTTATTCAGAATAAAATAAATCACCAAAATAATAGGAACTAACCTACTTGACTGGGTAAACTAAGCAAAGACGATAAGATAGAGACCAAGAATTTCGGAACTGGACGTTGGACTTGCTGCCATGTGCTTCTCACGTGCTAACGAGTTTGTACTAAGTTTTAACACTCCCCCTTAGTACAAACTTCCGGTCTTCTATTCCGAGTGCTTTACGAAGACTCTGAAACTTAGGCTTCACTAAAGCCTTGGTGAATATATCTGCAACTTGAGCTCCTGTCCGAACACCAGTAAGCTCTATCTCTTCGTTCAGAACCTTCTCACGGATAAAGTGATGGCGCACTTCTATGTGTTTAGTTCTAGCATGAAACACTGGATTTAGTGCAAGTTTGATAGCACTCTCATTATCGCACTTAATTTCCACCGTGTACTCGTCTTCATGCAGTATATCTTTGATCAGTCTCTTTAACCACACACACTCTTGAGCAGCCATTGTAGCTGCCACGTACTCCGCCTCGGTGCTGGACAAGGCAACGATATCTTGCTTTTTGCTACACCATGACACTGCTGCTGAGCCGACGTTAAAACAGTAACCAGAGGTTGAATGTCTGTCATTTGTATCTCCTGCCCAATCTGCGTCTGTGAACCCTTCTAACACAAACTTGGTATTCTTCTTGTACAAGAGCCCGTATTCAAGAGACCCTTTTATGTAACGCAGGATTCTTTTTGCTGCTTCTAAGTGAGGAACTCTCGGTTCTTGCATGAACTGAGATATAACGCCTACTGAGTATGAAATTTCTGGCCTCGTAATAGTCAGGTAGATTAAACTACCTACTAGTTGTCGGTACTTTTTCGGGTTCTTCAACATCTTTCCCTCCTCTTTCTTTAGCTTCAGGTTTGGTTCCATGGGAGTGGCTTTTGTTTTTGCCTCTCTCATACCAAAACGATCTAAGAGGCTCCTTGCATAAGCTTGCTGTGTCATAAAGTACCCTTGTTCTGTCTTCTCAACCTCCAAGCCAAGAAAGCAACTCACTTCCCCTAGATTTTTCATGTCAAAACGCAGAGCTAGATCATTCCGTAGGCTAGAAATTTCAGTTTCATCATTTCCAGTTATGATCATATCATCTACGTACAAGAGAACCAGCAGCTGCACATTGGACCTTAGCTTCACAAACAGACTTGAATCTGCATCTGACATCTTAAACCCACAGAAGGCAAGAAACTGAGCTACCTTTCCATACCAAGCTCGTGGAGCTTGCTTCAACCCGTATAATGCCTTCTTCAGTCGACACACATGACTTGGAAACTTTTCGGAAATAAACCCAGGAGGTTGTTGCATGAACACATCTCTGTCTAATTCACCATAGAGAAACGCGTTTTTCACATCCAATTGCCACAGCTTCCACCCTTTGTATGCAGCCAAGGAAATGACAGTTCTCACGGTCACCATCTTTGCTACGGGACTGAAAGTTTCTTCATAGTCCAGCCCATAGTTTTGAGAAAAACCACGTGCTACGAGACGAGCTTTGTACCTGTCAATAGTGCCATCAGACTTTCTCTTCTGTTTGAATACCCACTTGCACGTGACAGGTTCACAATGTTCTGGTTTGGGTACTAACTCCCATGTTTCGTTCTTGTCTAAGGCACTTATCTCTTCTCGCATGGCCTTTTCCCACTCTGGATTTCCCTTTGCTTCTTCATAGCAAGCTGGTTCTCCTTCGTTTTGCTCCCCCATAAAGAAACATGCAGCAACCGAGCAAGTGTTCACTTCATAGTCACTTAGATAATGAGGTTGTTTCTTCTCCCTTGTTGAACGTCTCACTACTTGCTCTTCGGGTTCACTGTTTGTGGGAGATATTTGCCTATCTTCTTCTGCATCCTCATTCGTCATTTTCTCACTTGTTTCAGAAAACCGAAGTTCTGTGTTGCTGTCGTTTGGAGCAATTAACTTAGGAGCTGGGAACGTTGTTGAGACTTCATCAAACACGACGTCCCTGGAAGTTGTGAACTTCTTCGTTTTTGGATCCATACACCTCCAACCTTTCCTGCACGGATCATATCCAACAAACACACACCTCCTAGCCTTTGGGTCAAGTTTAGTTCTATTACTCTTAGGGACATGAACATAACATATCGACCCGAATACTCTAAAGTAATTAACATTTGGTTTTTCTCCATATACAATCTCAAAAGAAGACTTCTGTGTACCTGGCCAGATTGGCAACCTGTTTATTACATGGCATGCACACTGAAACGCCTCTGCCCACAGCTCTTTAGGGAGGTTCTTGTCATGTAGCCATGAAAGACAAACAGACGTGAGATATGCCAACTTCCTCTCAGCAACCCCATTCTGCTGAGGGGTATCTGGACATGTCATCTGCCGAGCAATACCATGTGTATCACAGTACTTGAAAAATTCATCAGACATGTATTCTCCGCCATTATCACTTCTGAGGCACTTGACTTTCTTCCCGAACTCCTTCTCAACTGCTTCTCTAAATTCTGCAAATTTAGTCAACGCCTCGCTTTTCTCCTTTAAGAATTTCACCCAAGTGAACCTTGAGTGATCATCTACCAGCACCATCACGTACTGGTGTCCACTACAGCTTGCTGTCTTTGTTGGTCCCATGAGATCTGTATGAACTAGTTCTAGCATCGAGGAGCGTCGGTTTGATGACCTTTTGAATGGAAGTCGGTGAGATTTGCCATATTGACATCCTTGGCATATCACATCTTCACGAACATTTTTCAAGCCTGGCATACCGTCCACTAGTCCTTTTGAGGAGATTTGTTGCAACAGCTGGTATCCCACGTGTCCCAACCGAGCATGCCATATGGCTGCATTATCGGTTTGACTTGTCTTCTTCACATAGGCCTCCCCTGCTGATAGAACAAACAACGAGCCTTTCTTTTTGCCAGAAAAAAGGACATCAGCAGATATCTCTTTCACATTACCAAGTATTTTTACATCTTTTGGGCCAAACAATACATACTTTCCAGTGTTAGTGATCTGGGGAACAGACATTAAATTTTTAGTCACACCTGGGACGTGATACACATCATGCAGCTTGATATTTTCTTGACCATTGCCTTCAACCATTACTACTCCTTCATTTGTGACGGGATGGGTTGAATTGTCGGCGGTCACCACGACTGTGTCTCCACAATATTCATGTATTTCTGAAAACAGAGTCTCATTACCGGTTACATGGTGGGAGCATCCTGAGTCAACTATCCATTCTGTACTCTTGTTGGATGCATAATTAGCGAAGCTCAACGTGGACTTCTGATCTACTGCTTCAACTGTAAAGCATTGCTCCCACTTGAGCTGATCATCCTCCTCGGTGCTAGCCACATTCGCTTTGGAGAGTTTTACTCGACAGAACCGTTTTATGTGCCCAGGTTTGCCACACCTGAAGCACGTAATAGGCTTCTTGACTTGAGACTCGTCGTTCTCTTCCTCACTTGACTCCACGTCCCTGTTCTTGCTACTTGACGAGGCTTTCACATTCGACTTCCCTTTTGAGAAGAGAACAGCATCAGTTTCAAACCCTTTTGACATCTGCTTGGCCAAGGCTTCTTGATTTGAGAGCAGGTTTTCCAATTCTTCAATGGAAGGTTGTGTTGCCCACCCTTGTATCGAGGTGACAAAGGGTCCATATTCCTTCCGTAGGCCACGTATAATATAACGACGCAACCTCGACTCACTAACCTTTTCATCCTTGTCGATCTCTGAAATTTCAGCACACACACTTTTGACTCGTAAGAAATATTCTGAGATCGTCATACCTTCTTGAGTTAGGCTAGCCAACTCATTTTCCAAAAGTTGCAGTCGTGCCGTGTTCTTCTTGTGAAGAGCCTCTCAAGAATCTCCCATACCTCTTTTGGAGACGTAACATCTCGAACGTGTTCTATATACTCCCTGCTAATGGACGTTCTTAGTGCATAGAGAGCTTTTCCACACTTAATCTTCCATTTGCGTCTTGCTTCGGAGTGTTCGGAATCTTCGCTGGGGATCTTATCAGTGCCGACAACTAGTTCCCACAAGTCCTGTCCTTGAAGATAAGCCTCCATACACATCCGCCAATATTTGTAATTGGTGCCGACTAGCTTCTCCATTCCAAGGTGTCCATTTCCTCCGTTTGAAGACTCCATTTCAGCAACAAAATAACGTTGTTATCCAAACCAGGCTCGGATACCATGAAACAAAACAGAGAAGGAAAATAAAGAGCAAAAGACAACGAACTTATCAGGAATGCTTTTTATTTCTTTCTAACATAAACGAATACATCAGCTGCCTTTTATAACTCAAGGCTTTCAACTTATTCCTAAAATATCTCCTGAAATCTTGCTAGCACTCCCTCTTTATTCAGAATAAAATAAATCACCAAAATAATAGGAACTAACCTACTTGACTGGGTAAACTAAGCAAAGACGATAAGATAGAGACCAAGAATTTCGGAACTGGACGTTGGACTTGTTGCCATGTGCTTCTCACGTGCTAACGAGTTTGTACTAAGTTTTAACATGTTGTTGCTCGAGTTTAGTTCAAACTTCAAACATGGCTCGCTGGAGTGCAATGGAACTTTATATAAATATTATATACATGGATATATTTCTTTTTTTTTTTGGGGGGGGGGCTTGATTCAAGTTATTTGCATGAATTACATATCAGACTCACACGCTACCACCTGGATATGATAAATGTGAACAGTGAATGATTGGTTTCCAAACTTCAACTGTTTCGTGTACAACATGGATCATTTGGCTTAGTCGGTGATAAATACTTGTGCGTAGGAGTCGGGTCTAATTGAAATATTCTCAAGTCATATTTTAATGCTCTTAATTTTTAAATATCGTCGCTAGTCCTTATTATAAAACTTCATTTATAAGACATGATGTAATATATAGTAAGGACAACTCACAATCTCGCATCCCATTTGTTTTAAGCACACCTTAAAATTCATGAGCCAGCAGAAGTCGGTCATATGTCTTTTGTTTTCCACCTCTTGTTTTACCAGTTACGTAAGTCACGTAAATTGCTAATAAAAAATAAAATAAATAACGAATGATCGTATGGAGGAAACTAATTAGAGAAACATGAAATCCATTGAGTCACCTGGTCATAGCTCAGACTCCTTTGCACCACAGTACAATGAAATTTTTCAACAAAAAAAAAAGTTATATTACAAAATATTGTTTACTTTGTTCTGAATTTTGAAAAATAAAAGTCTTGCTATTGGCTTACGTTGGAATTGTTTGAATCCTGAACATCATCCCTCCTCCTTTCTCACACGGTTATAACAATTTATTCAGAAGTTTCGTATTTTTCGAAATAGTAATCTAGTACCAAAAAGGTAATAATAAATGCATATACCAATACATGGTTTTTTTTCCCTAAAAAGAAAGTAAACTATATATATAAAGCGATAATAAAAGCTGTAAAGCACGACGACTGAATTATAAGCCTCAAAAAGGTACGCATATTAATGAGTCTGCTGGCGGGTCAATTGGGGAGGCAAACATAACGGAGGAGAGATTAAACGTGAGGTTCCACGTCACAATCAAACAAAACGAATGTCGTTTGCCCCACGCCACCATGAAGCATTGAAGCTTCTATCACATTTGTGATCTCTATTTCACGCATCCTTTTTCTCTGTCTAGTCAGAAAACGATGCGCTCGACTCTCAGAATCCATTTGAAATCATGTTTGTAACAAACTGAGACAAAACTCGTTTACATACTTATCTTATATTCTCTAAACTATAATTAAAAAATAGTTATAAGTCATTTTAAACGGGTTCCTATTTTATCAGGCAGCGCATTGCACAACAAATGAGATTTGTTTTTGTACCCGCTGGTAGAGGTGGGGAAAGGGCCACCGGCCCATTTGGATTGAGCCCATACACTTGGCCCATATTAGCTTGGGCTGTAAGCCCATTTATCTAACGGAACATCGACGCTGAAATTCCTGGTTCGTTAGCTTGTCAAATTTTTCTTGAAAAGGTATCCTCTCAACATGATAGTGGTCGGAGCTCTAACATGGGCGAGTGAGTTTTCACTTTTCAGAGAAGGTGGTCACAAGGAGAAGCCCATGACCTTTTGGATCCTCTATGTGCAGAGATTAATTTCCAAACTTTTTATCTGGGGCAATGTTAAAGAACCAGAGGCATCTCAGTGAATCAGTTAAAGTTAGGATAAGACTGTTTACGTTGTGAGGAGGACAACTCTTGAGGCCACTTTTGCCCAGCCAGTGCAGGTGAATAAGGGTTACGTGTGTCTATTTGGTAAGGTTGGGCAAATATCAAAACTAACTGCGCTCACTCTGAATTAGGATTGGCTCCTTTAATTTGTAAAATGCCTCCGTAGTCCCTAATGCTAATACCAACAGGAGAGGAAGAGAGAAGAGAAATTGAGAGAGCCAGAATTATTAATTTCTCTTATTCTAGTTTAGAGACCGCTTAAGAAATCAAATCTCACTGCAGAATTATACGCATCGGCAATGTGCTATATTGTTGATATAAAAAGGTATTGCAGTAGCGCATAACATACCTCCATTGTTTTATGGCAAGTTGAGTTAGAATTATTGGTAAGGAATATAAGTACTAGAGATCGATTTCACGAGATTCTGTAACAGATAATAGCTGGGTCACGTGGTGGCTGATCTGAAAGTCCAGATTCGCATAATCGGACCATCATCTGCTGCGGCGAGAGGCAGATGGAGAGGCTCGCGGAGGTCACCGAATCAGAGATACGAATAGACTTTGCTCTCAACTGCAAATGCCGAGCCACCGTCAGTCTACGATCTCTGTGGGCCGCCTCGCCGCTGGCCTTCAAGGTCCAGACCTCCTCCCCTAATAAGTTCCTCGTTAACCCTCCCTCCGGCATCATCCCCCCTCTCTCTCACGCCACCTTCCAAGTCATCCTCAAGCCTCAGTCCCAGCTTCCCCTAACCTTCCCTCGATCTCCCTCCGATCGCTTCCTCGTCAAAATCGCCGAATTCCTCCCCAACACCTCCATTCCCATTCCCTCTCACGCCATTAACTCATGGTTCTCCTCTCTCCCGTCTTCCACTCCCACTCAGAATCTTAAACTCAAGGTCGCCTTTGTCGGCCCCCTGCTTCTCCGCCATGCCGTCGTTAGTGGTGATTTGGATGCTGTTAGGAACCTCATCAAACGGCAGAGGTCCTTACTCGCCGATTTGTCGCCCAGTGAGGCTGATTGGCTCCTCCGAGTCGCCACCGAGTTGGTTAACCCGGACGGCATGGTTCACTTGCTCCTGGAAGCTGGTTTGAGACTGGAGCAGGAATTGGGATCGGGTAACGCGGACCCGAGATGGGCTTCGAAGGGCTGGGACGAGTTACACGTGGCGGCGGCTCTTGATCGGGCGGATGACGTCCGGAGGTTGTTAAAGACGAATCCTTCGTGGCCGTTGGATTCCAGAGATCACAAGGGTAGGACCCCTTTGCATTTGGCGGCGGATAAGGGAAATATCAGGTGCGCGCGCTTGCTGGTGGAAGGCGGAGCGAATGTGAATGCCAGGTGCAACGACGGTAGCTCGCCGTTGTTCAGAGCAGCGGCGAATGGTGAGAGTAGGATGGTGGAAATGCTGGTTGAGATGGGCGCTGACCCAACCATAACCGACGATCGTGGCCGTTCCGCCCTTCACATTGCCAGTGATGAAGGACACGTGAGTGATTCCTATCATTCTTGTCACAAGTGGTTCAACTCTATAAATTTGCAAATTAATGTCTGTTTGGTCCGGTTTGGAAAGTGCTGCGAAACTGTTCTTTTAATGGAGAAAAATACGCTTAAATCAATGAAGCTCCGAAGACTAACTAGCAAATAAAAATGGACAAGTGCCTTGGCCTCCAAAGAAGAATCTAAATCAAGTGATAGATTGCTATGGCAGCATTTTGGATTTTTTTTTTAAAACAAAAACTTTGGTAGTTTAATGAGGTCAAAAATGTTCTTCTTTGTTTGTTTGTTTGTTTTTACAAACGAAGTGTTTGTTTGATGAATGGGGAAGCAGAAAGAGATAGTAAAAATAATGGAGCAAGGAGAAGAAGTACTAGCGGCGGCGAGGCATGGAGACGTAAAGAAACTGGAGACACTGTTGAAGAGAGGGGCGAACGTGCACTACCGTGATCAGTATGGTTTGACGGCCCTTCATGCGGCAGCCATGAAAGGGCACAAAGAGATGGTATCGATGCTGACAGAAGCAGGGTTGAACTTGGAATGTGAGGACGAGGAAGGTCACGCGCCGCTGCACATGGCGGTGGAGAGTGGTGACCCGGAGACCATACAAGTTTTAGTGAACAAGGGTGTGAATGTAAATTCTGCCAATAAGAAGGGTGCCACCCCTTTGTACGTGGCTAGAATTTTTGGATACGATGCCATAGCTGACTTCCTTGTCAGCAAGGGAGCAATGTCCTGTTTTCCTGTAATTTTACGGTAACTTCTCTCTGAATATACATCACATAATCCTAAATTATAGTGCTTGCCCCAGAAATGCTTGTGCAAGATATTATTTGCAGGCATCATCACGGCAATTTCCCTCGCCCCCCTTTTTTGGGTGTTTAGTAATTAGTGGCCCTGTTCCATTCTCGAACCGTATGATTCTATCTTCTCTGGTCTTGTAAACCAAGGATTATATCGTGGGACTTTCAAAGAGAATCACTACTCATAAAGGTCCAACCAGATCATCTCATGGGTGAACTCTTCGATCGAGAAATTTCCTAGCTACCAGGCCTTCCTCAACCATCCATGACTTGAAAATTAAGCATCCGCTTTGATCCAAATTGATGAGCACTTGTAATGATTTGCATATGTTACGACATCATAGTTTTCGGAAATAATTTAGTCAGAAGCTATCATTAATATTCTCGTCCTTCCCATTGAGCAATCTCAATTTTGATTAACATATGCAAAGTTTAGTTGTGTCCTGTGCATCCTTATTTAGCTAATGTCCTTCCACTATCTTGATAATGTGCCCCGTTCTTTATTTATCATGCTTGGTTTGAATTCAATCAGTCAGAATGTTAGATAAAGAGTAAATACACTAATTTTTTTCAATAAGGGAAAATAACTCATATTATTAAAGAAAAGTTTTGCAATTAAATGAGAATAATCAGCTGATGATAAAGCCTAATTTTTGCAACTGTATAAAAAAATATTTGAAAGTCCTTACAGTTACAGCTATTGTCGCCCTTCTTAAAACAGTTACGCATAACCAACAAAACGGTCTTCCAGTCTTCACCTTCCCTGCTTCCATGCACCTATGTTCTTCCTTCTTCGTCTTCCCCATGAACACCGTCCTTGGCGTATCCTTCTTCCTGCTCCTCTCCTTATTCACAGAACCAGTCTTACCATTCTCCCACGCAGACCACTATACTAAACCCTCCGACCTCTCTCTCCGGCGCCACCACCGTCCCCAAGAACACCTGGAGGTCACCTATCCTCTACCCTCCGAACAAGCCACCCCATCATGCTCCCACCTTATTCTGCGCCACTCCTTCGCCGATACCATCGATTCCCCTCCCTTCTCCACACCCTACATCCCTCCCTCTCACTGCCCTTCCCCTTGGTCCCGCGTTCTCCTCCGTTTCCAGGCCGATTGTAAAGGAGAGCAGTACGACCGCATCGCTGGCTTATGGCTCGGCGGCGTCGAGCTCTTTCGCACCAGCACCGCCGAGCCCACGAAGGATGGAGTCTTCTGGAATGTTTGGAAGGATGTCACCAGGTACTCCTCTCTCCTTACAAGGTCTGACCTGGATCTCACGATGATGCTGGAAAACATCGTTAATCATGAATTCACTGGGATTTACCATGTCACCATCACTCTTTCGCTCTTCAAAGGCCGCGCTGTTGTGGGGGTTCCCCTTGGGGTTTCTTGTGAGAGGAGATCGAGGATCCTTAGGGATGAATCGGATGGAGGAATCTCGGAAGTAACGGTGGAACGGGATGATCTCGGTGATACTGATTTGCGTAGGGGTTCATTGGATTCGTATGAATCCCCGGCTGATTTGATCATTCCGATATCTGATGACGGCGACCGTGGGTTTTGGTTTAGAATTGAGCGCGAATCGGATGTTCATTCCCGGAGCATTCGAATTCCAAAAAATACTCACCGTGCAGTTCTTGAGTTGTGCGCGTCTTTTCATGGCAACGATGAGTTTTGGTACTCAAACCCGCCCAATTCATACATCAAAACTAACGGCTTAAGCACACGCCGAGGTAATGGAGCTTACAGGGAAGTGTACGTGACAATCGATGGCGAAGTTGTAGGGTCGGAGGTTCCATTTCCGGTCATTTTCACAGGAGGAATCAATCCCCTCCTCTGGGAGCCTGTTGTTGCAATTGGGGCTTTCAATCTTCCTTCTTATGACATAGATCTAACACCTTATCTAGGTAAGATTCTGGATGGGAAAAAACATAGGTTTGGAATAGGTGTGACTCGGGGCATCTCATACTGGCTTGTCAATGCAAATTTGCACCTGTGGTTGGATCATCATTCCCAAGTAGTTCATGCTGGACGAATCATTAACAAGAGTCCTGAAGTGACAATAGAGCGCCAAGAAGAATTTACAGGACTTGATGGATCGTTTGATATTAGTGCAGAGAGGGAAGGAAAAGTAGCAGGGTGGGTTAGATCAAGTGCAGGAAACTTGACCACCATTATCTTGCATGAGTTCAAGTTCAAGAACTACATTAAGTTTCAAAAGAATGGAACCTACAAGTTAGTGAAACAAAAACACAAAGCGAAGAAGAAGACGAAGTTAATAAATGGTCATGGTCAAGTGGTTGGATTATTGAAGGTTAAGAGAAAGTATCCTCTGCGTGTGCTAACTTGGACTAAGCCATGTTTGCGCAAGGACAGATATCTACTCGTTACCAATGTCACTCATGCTTTGAGAGAGAGGCAATCAGGTGCGTGCTTCTCGAGTTCGATTAGTAACAAACAGGATTCTTCGGGATGGATGAAAGTGAAGGGTCACTCTGTTGTAGCAGGGCAAGCAATCACGCGACAAAATTATACTTACGCAGACAGGTTCAACTGCTATGCTCGAAATGTAGCGGCAGCTGATGGCAAGTTAATTGAAGACAGTTCCACTTTCCAATGCGAGCAATGAGAATCATTTCCAACTTCTTTTCCCATGTCCCTGTTTTATTTTCAGTTTGTGATAACATCAGTGTCAAGTCCGAAGCCCATCCCTTTTTGTGTGTTGTTTTTGCTGTGTAATAGCAATTTAATTGGGTGAAGCTGTATAATATCATTTGATCCCATTGTTCTTGTGTTTGTACATAGGATGAGTGGAGTAGAGGTGCATCCTAACAAAGTACAGACATCTCAGAAAATAAAACATTGGCACCTCCAGATACTCAAGTTCGCACCCTTGAAAGGATGCCTTCACTCCACAGTCCAAACTGATCTCATCATGTCATGATCACGCGTCTAATCCCATTCAGCAAATTTACAGGGTTTAAAATTCTATGCTTTTAATCCCAAGAATCTGTGTTGGTTAATAAATGATGTAAGAACTAATGAAAATGGAACTTAAAAGACAAGAGAATACTGAATTCGTTAAAAAAAAAAAAAAAAACCATTTTGGAGGTAATTATATTTTTTCTTAATTTTTAATTTGATACCCATGTCTTTTTTTTCTTCATTAAATCTTTAATTTTGCTCTATTAATATTGCTAATCCTTACACAATGCTAATAGAGCAAAATTGCAAAACCTAATGTTGCCGAAAGAGCAAGATTAAATGATTTAATTAAGAGACAAAAAACCAAATATCCAATTAAAAAATAGAAAAAACACATAAGCACCACCACCATAATATGGTTTTTCCAACATAAAATGGCGCAAATCCAAACCTTACACCGAAGATCAAAAAGCTCAAACCCTGACATGCTTTCCGTAGGCTGAAAAACCGATTTACCTTTTCACTCCAGGTAAAAAGTTACTTAGAAACTTGCCCCGGACCCAAAAAGCTCCATCAAGTACCATTCCGCTCCCCAAAAATGGAAATTCGAGTAGAATAGAATCGAGTAAAAGCACCTTTATTTCTATATAACAAAAAAATGGTGGATATAAGAATTCACGGCTAATGAAGTCTTCAACTCTCGTACGCAGAAAAAAAAATGTAAGAAAACGGAATAATAAATTTAATTTATCCACACCACCTGGAGAGAGGCTATTATTCCAAGATTACGCTTGAATTGCATATGGAATGAGATAAAATTGGATTTATCGGCAGATTACTGAGCATTCATTTCAAGACGCTCCTCAATCGCTCCGCAAGTATCATAACATCTCTACATACAATAATCTAGTGTGTATTGTACAATCGCAACAAAAATGTTGTTTGGGGAAAAAAAAAACTAACAAAAATGTAGCGAAATCCGTCGTTCTCTATGCCTTTTTAACCCTCAATTTTTTGTCACTCTGTTATCCCAGCACCCTGACCCTCCACGTCAACTTCACCCATTCCTGTATCTTCTTCCTCTTCGCTATCTTCATCACCACTAACCTCCTCGTTGTCTTGGCGTAGCTTAGCCATATGTTCAGCAAGCAATTTATCATCACGTTCACTCACCTGAATCACAATGAAAAATGTCAATCTCTGATAAAGAAAATATGAGTTCTAAAATACATCCATCATCAACACTCACTGCTCTGGGTGCCTCCTTCACAACTAGTTTACCCTTGTGTTGCTCTATGGCTTTATTGCAGGCTTCAATAGCATCCTTGAGAACCAATATTCCTTGATCCTGTGAACATATTGAAGAACACACTAGTAGTTTCAGTACGAAGTCACCATTTGCAAATTAGACGTTCTAACAAATATAAAAACTGCCTCCAGGATACTAACTAAATAAGTAATGTACTATTTTCTAGGAATCTAACGCTCAGATAGTGGAGAAAACAACAGCCTTCGCCAAGAAAACCCGTCAAAACAGGCACTACAGGTAAGATCAACAGCTAGTTCAGTTGTTCAGTTAGTCAATCATCATACACATCAGATCAAAATTTTTGTTAAGACTGTACACCAACCTTGTCGAGAGTGTGAGTGGTAAGAACATAAAGTGGGGGAGCGACAAGTTTAATCTTCACTGGGCAATCATTATTTCCAGCAGCTTCAGCTTTCCGCATTGCATCCTGCATGGTCATGCAATTATACCGTAATTATTCACAATACTTAGGAAGATAAGCAAATATTACTGAACAAACCAAATTCAAGCACAGCCCAAAGAATATGGGAGAGAAGAAACAGTTCAGACCTTAATGTGAAGAACTCCATCAAACTGAAAACACTTCATTTCAATATCAGCCCTAATTTTCAAGGGCTGGGGGGTCATTCGTCTTCTGATGTTCTTTACTAGAGCTTCCTTCACCGCTTCTGATACTGCCGGAACCACCTTGGTCACCTAGAGGAGAAAAAATAAAAATCAGTCTTAAGTAATCAAATAGAACTTCTGTGGAAAAATGATCTACGACAGCAATAATTACCTCCTGCCCATCAGGGCCAACCTCCTTGACCTCACGGGTGAGGGAATTCAAAACTGAATCAGGATCAGTAACAATTATTTTAAATGCCTGCACAAAATGAGGATCATATAGCAGTTGCATAATTCAGAGAAAACTATATATGTATATAACAAACTTCCTTACCTCAAAAGCATGACCGTATTTGCGATACAGAGGCCATCCAATGTGAATATACAGCTCCTGCAGAAGGCAACTTGTATTTAGTTCAATCAGGAAGAGTGAAGCACTATCAACAAGCAAATAATTAGACCAACCAAAGCAAAATGGGGTAAGAAGATCAAAATCATCAGATTGAGTAGAAGTAGATACAAAAACCATGAAGAAATACATCGAATCACTGGAAAGATGACATTTGAGATAACAAGCGCCCCGTGATAAAAAGCAATGCATATGAGGTGGGGAAAACTAACCATAATGAAATAAAATGATCAGCATCACTGTGCAATGCACCTTCCTAGTCTGGTTACATGCGCTAAAAAATGGAGAGCCCACAATAGCAGGAGAAACATAAATCACTTAAAAATATGAACGGGATCTAATATCATTCTAGGTGATCCTAGGCAGTAGTAACATTTTACATGAAATTCAATCCTTTCTTTTTTGTGGGAAGGCTGCTATAATTAGATCATATACAAATGCCCAGTAAAGAGCACAACAACTAGGTTAGAATGAACCGAATTTCTACCTTCTAAGAAATGGGCAAACAAAAAGGCCAGATTTCTACTTTCTCAGCGTAGGTCTAGCACCGCCTCCCCTCAAACCCCCCCCCAAAAAAAAAGGCGGGAAGACCAAGATGCATGATATCATCCAACCGTGATCCATACCTAAGTTCAAAAACTCAGCAGTATCAAGAGCATAATTCCCCTATCAACCATTATTAACCTAAAAAAACATAAAAAGAAGAATCTGATTGTCGAACAGAGAGTTTTTCAAAAACCAACAGAACTTGCACGGAAGTAGGAGAAAACTGGTACGTCAATTCTAGCACACGATTATTTAACTATGGAATGAAGAAAACATTTACAGTAAGCATGGAAAACTGATTTATTTGAAACCAAAGTAACACAAATACGCTGCAAAGATGTTTTAGACATATCCTAGTCAGTGAGAGATAAGTCCCTGGGGTGAAAATGTATGACTAATGAAAGCAAGGTTATACAAGGCCAGAGACAAAAAATTGAGTTGGGATAAAAATGAAGAGCCAGAAGAATAATTGGCAAATTGTGAGGCTGATTTCTAAATCATAAATCATCAACCTTATCATAGCCTTTGTTATTCACCTTTTTATAAGGAACCAAATCAGTGGCAATAACGTACAAACAAGAGTATAAACTTGATGAGCAGTAAGAATTCAAGGAAACAACTCAACGAGAGGTCACATGGCAAGGGTGGAGAGAGTATTTCAATGAGAAAATGACTGTGATATAGAGAGAGATTAGTGGAGTGGAGGTGAGATTGGTGGCAACGCTTTGAGGAAGAAGTGTCCATCTCATGGTAGGTCGAAACTTATACTACAGAAGACGACAATTAAGCATTCTGAGTTGAGCCTTCAAAAATTAACAGATAAATAAAAGGATCAGATGAGTTCCCTGCCTTCGGCCCCATAAGTCAGGTTGTTTGTGACCCAATGCAACATAACAGAAGCATAGAGCAGAGGAATCAGAAATTCATACGACAATCATGCTCTCCAGAGCAAATCGACCACTTCCGGTGATTTCTCCGGTGATTCATGGAGCTGGAGATGTAAATCAAACATTCAATTACTATGAATAAGCATCACACTGAATTTTTTTTACGTTCCCAGCACGTTCTCAATGACCATAGAAAGCACCACAATCCAATAGAGCACTCTTGCGGTAGTCAGTCCGGTCCTTCAACTAGAACAGACTTTAGAACAACTTTGCGTGTTAAACTTAAGCACATGCAGTAGTGTTGCCAAGCAAACAAGAATCTTGAATTTTACAAACCACACCACAAATTCTTCGAAGTATAATCCACAGCCATGTAATATAGTAATTTGCATGACAGAATTTTCAGAAATTAGGGCAAGTCTACCTTCTTCTTTTTTTCATGGGTCAAGGGTCAAGTCAACATACAAGGAAAGAAAGTGGACATAATGATTCCGAAACTATTAATGCCTAGGGATCAAGTTCAGGTATTTCACACTCATTCTATTCAAGCACTTAAAACTCGAGGTAACCCGAGGTCCATAGGACTCAATAGGTTTCTGAATTCAGTCTGAATAATTCTCCCTAACGATTGTCCTGAGGTATTCATGCCGGACTACAACGAGAGCATATACTTCCGTTCATTAGGGCAAAAAAGTGCAAAATAAGAACTTCCATGATTGTTTATTCATCAAGGGTCATTCATTGAAAACTAACATATGAATCCCAGGACTCATATACTTTCGCTCAATGGAACAAAATGGTGAAGAACTGCTGCGCCACTCCACAAAAGACAAATATCAAAATTAACAATTTGCAAGAGAACAAAGAATTATCTCACCGGGGGGGAAAAAAAAAGAAACAAACAATTAACAGTAACAAGCAATTAAGCTCATCGATCAAGAAAAATGGATATGAGGGAAAGAAACGGCGTCGCAGCGAAATACCTCCAAATCAATATTTTCAGTCTCAGCAACGTGACGCATGATGGAGTGAACAAGCTTGCTCTTGTTGTACCTCTCCTCGCAAGCTTGAATATCCTCCTCAGATACCCTTCTCTTGCTCAAATCGATGTAACCCTTTTCCTTGTCGACCCTGAGAACCATAACGGGCTCGATGCGGCCGACCTTGATAAGACTGCTGACACTACGAATCCGGCGGCGAGAGAGCTCGGAGAACAGGATCATGCCCTCGATGTTGTTGTACTCGAGAAGTGAGACGTATGCGCCCATGTCGGCGATGTTCTTGACTTGTATCATAACAGCCATGTCCACCTCCGGATACCTGGCCTCGTACATCCGACATTCGAGATTTGGAGCCATGGTTTGGGTTTCTAGGGCTTTTTTGGGATTGTGGATGGAGTAAAAGGCGGTCTGGTGGTGACGATACCGGCGAGCTCTTTCTCTCTCTGTGAGTAACCGCAATCCAGGCAAGGGTTTTAACCTGGAAGGCGAAAGGCCGAAGCCCTGAAGCAAATAGTTATACCGCTACGACGTCGTTTGCTACTCTGGAAGATACCAAAATTCAAGGGCTAACGTGAGCTAAAAGAAGCACGCCCACCGTGGGGCTCGAACCCACGACCACAAGGTTAAGAGCCTTGCGCTCTACCGACTGAGCTAGACGGGCAAGTTGTGCCGTGGTCAATTCATTTAATAAAAATTCCTCTGTTCGTTACTGACTTCTCAGCGTTCAACAGGAGTGTCGCCTCTGCATTATCTTGAGGTCAAAAGGTCCTTACTCTTATGCCACCTCCGGTTCTGTGTATAATTAGAACCAGAGGTAGTACTTGTATCTGATTCTCCAACGATGAGATGGCATCTTTCTTTTTTTTACAACTCACTTATCTAGTCACTAACCCCAAACTTGACACCGTTAATTAATATTTTTAACGTCATAATTGAGGGTTTAAGGTTGTGCACCATAGACATTCACTTGAAAAGTCAGATTTGGGCCATCCGTTGAAGTAATTGGATATTTTCAGTCAACATAAGAAAATAAACAAGCACTCGCGTACAATAATAATAATGGGTTCATTTGGCAAGGCTTATTTGGGCTTAAAAGCAACTTATTTTACTTATAAGTCCGGTTGGCTGAAGAGGCTGTGTTTGGCTGGGCTTAAAAAAAAAAGCAGCTTATACATTTTAAGCTCCAAAATGGGCAGTTAGGCTTAAGCAGAATTTTGCGGCTTATCTCCTCACTTTAAGAGCTTTTTTTTTTTAACCGTTGAAAAGTGTAGGGGGTTATTTTTTTTACTTCAGTAGTTGGGAATCTCTCATTTTTCTTCACCTCGTTTTTTTTTCTTTCACCTCAGCTCTCTTCGCGACCGCGAGCTGGAGCCCAGCGTCCGCCATCACGTCCTCGCCAGAACCACTGACACCTAGTCGTAGTCAGCTCCGTCGCATCTCTGCTGTGGGGTCATCGTCTTCAGTGTGGCTTTGAGTGACCAAGAACCTGGTCCTTCATTGCGTCTCGTCCTTCTCCAAGCTGTTGTTGGTGTCTCCAACCTAGGTCGCCACCATCTGCCAGTGCATGTGAGGTGTGCTTCGACTTCTTAGCCTCCCAGTGGAATAGAGTGTCCAATCTACCTCTGGCAAGCGTCGGGTGGTCCGATCTGAGACAGGTTGGCCGGTTCCTATTTTTGTGTTGCTTTTCGGTGAATTTGGCAGTGATAGGCGATTGATCAAAGCATGTGGAGTTGTATGTGTGTGTTGATCTATGTGTGAGCTGATATAACATTTGGATGAGGGGATTCACAAAAAAGCTAGGAAAATGCCCGGCAATTAGAGCAGAATTGTGGACAATTCTGACAGCTTTGCGACTTGTGAGGGAGAGCAATATAAATTATTTAATCCTTGAAACTTATTCGTCCTCAATGATCTGGATGTTGCAGCAATTGCAAGATGGAGAAGTTTTTGATTTAATTCAGAAAGAGCTGAGTAATTTTTCTAGTTTACAGTTTAATCATGTTTTTAGGGAGGGTAATGTTTGAGTACATTCCGTGCCAACTTGAGTATTGTACAGGACAAGGAGTTTGCTGTTTTTGATGTGCCTCCTCAATGCATGAAATAGCATTTGGATAATGATATGTTGGGAGTCTCTCTCCCACGAATGATAATGGAATAAGATGATGGCTTGTTGCCCCGTATTTCTCTAACGAAAAAAAGGTTGAATTCAAAAATGTTTAATGTATATGTGTAATAATAATGTTCAGTAATTTTAGTCAATTGAAGTTGGATGGAGTCACATGTTCATTGTTGGTTGATGGGAATATATATGCTCTGTTTGTTGTGATTGATTATTTGCGGTTGAATCATTTTGAGGCTTCTACGTATTCCTTTTAGGATGTTTATAGAAATTAAAGAGAAAGAATTGCTGAGTTATGCTATATGAATGTTGGAGCTTTTATTGCCTTTCCTTTTTCTCCTGTTCTACTTGTATTTGTCTTTGCAAATGGGACAACCGGAGCCGAAAATCTCTAAACATGAACAAATATATATATGGAAAAATATGGGAGGTTGGTTGGTTAAAATTAATACTTTTATTAAGTGGTTACTAAACACATTTTTACGCTAATATGTTAGGAAAACAAAAAAAGTTCTAATTTAGACAGGTTTGGTTCTAATTTGTTTATAAATGCCTGGTGGACATTTTACGTATGAATATCCTGATTTTTTTTAAAAAAATTATACCTAATGTCTAATAAATAAGTCAACTACTAAATTGCAAGTAAGTGGATGTTGAGATAAAGAATTTATTCTACTTTTAAGATGAGGGATTCTTGTGTCATAATGAGAAATGGTCCAAGAATGATAGATCCTTATCCAAACACAAGGGTAGAACAAAATTTGTATCATTCATGTGTGTGTGTGTATTGTTTTTAGCACAGTTCATGTATAATTTTTAATATTGTATCATGCTTAATACAAATGTTTAATGTATGTAGCAATACATATGATCAATATGTCATGTTTAATTTGATAATTTATTATTTATTTATTTTTATCATATAATATTTTAATAATATTTTGAAAAAAAAACTTAGTGGTTAAAAAAAGAAAATGAGGGAAAATGAGAAGAAGGAAAGATAAAGTTTTCAAAGCAATAAATAAATAGTTTAGTGTCATCGTAATCCAAACACTTTTTTGTCTTGGGATTTCTTCTTTATTTTAGGTAAGAAGAATATGCAAATAACATATATAGTGGCCGAACATGATCAGGCTGAAGCTAGTCAACCATCGCCTTCAAATGTTACATCACAGTTTTTATCGCATATGAATCGTGTTTGTGATGCAATCAGAGACCAAATTATTCATAGTTTATCAATTAATTAATTATGTAATTTTATTTTGTTTTACTTTGTCAATTGGAGTTCAAAACTTTGTTATCCATTTAAATTATGTTTAGTTTTATATTAACAATCTTTTTTTTCATTTCTCTGAGGCTTTCAAATTTAATTCATTCAATCAATTTCACTTCTTCGTATTAAATTAATTTAAATTTATTGTATTATGTTAATTTATTTTTTTTATCATGTTGCACTTCATTTCTTAAATATTTTTTATGATTTCTCTAAAGTTCTTAATTCTAATTCACTCATTAAATTTTACTTCTTCATTATATTATCTCAATTCAATTTTTTTCTTCTTTCACTTTATATTTAAAATAATTTTTTTGATTTCTCTAAAATTTTAAAATTTAATTCACTTATTCATATTAAATTATTTTAATTCCATTGTATTATGTGAAATTATTTTTTTTCATTTTTTATTATTTATTAAAACTCATGTCCATTTTGGTTATTTTACAACCAAACTTATTTTTATTCAACTATAATTCAAACAACTTTTTACCAATCTCACTTTTGCAAACGGGCTTTTCTGAACTCCAATCCAAATACAATTCAACTTATCCAATTTAGCTTTTATCCCACTTCACTTATCCATAAGCTGCTTTTTCAATAAGCAACTTTTCCAATCGCTGATCCAAACGGGTACAATATTTGTGAAGGTGATGATGGGGATTGATTAGTTTGGCGTATGTATATTTATTTATTTTTCATTTTCCTCCTTTCTTTTAATAACCTACTATTGGTTAGTATGATAATTTTAACAAATTGCATGAGCATTCGATTGTAAAAGCGCTGTAAAATATGTTAAATGAATTTTTCTTGTGGGATGGTAGCTGTCCAATATCTTTTTCTTGTGTTTTTCTAGCATTGGTTTTGTTCCTGTTTCTCAAAGTTTGATTTGTAGGTGTAAGCTTTATGTCCGCATAAACATTAATGCATAAGGTCTCCCCTGTTATTCCTCTAACCTCTGGTATACAGAATTGTGAAGAAGGTAAGCTTTTTGCAATCCCCTCGTCCTTTTCTGGAAGTCACTGAATGGATAGCACAATCAAGTATCACCTGAGTCGGCAAGTAGAGACGTATATATGAACACAGAGATCTTCACAATACAGTTGAGAAGTCCATTGGTGTTTTCCACAGCAAATTAAACAAGTTCAATTAAACAATGCACTAAATGGCTGGAGAAAGTAGAGGGCTATTTGAGAAAAAGGCCTCCAAATTTGCAGTCATGAGTTCAGAAATAGCCCTTGTGGATTCAAAAGTGAAGACGGCAGCATGAGGAGACAGAACCACATTATCCAATTCAAAAAGCTGTGGAGGAACATGAGGCTCATTCTCAAACACATCCAAACCAGCTCCTCCAATCTCCCTTCCCACCAAACACTTCACCAATTCCTTCTCATCTATGAGGCTCCCTCTTCCAACGTTCACAATGATTCCTTCTTTTCCCATCGCCATCATCACTTCCCTATTCACCATATGCCTCGTCTCTTGGTTGAGAGCACAACAGAGGATAAGTGCGTCACAGACTGATGCCAGCTCCAATATAGTTTCATAGAAAGGGTATGATACGGATGGCTTCTTGTTCTTTGAGGTGTACGATATGATGCAACCAAATGCTTCAAGCCGTTTTGCTGTTTCCGTGCCTATGTTTCCCAGGCCCACAATCCCAACTCGCTTGCCTCTTAACTAATGAAAAGTCAAATATATATGAAATTAAAATGACGGCTTCGCACTTGAATACCCAGAATAAGGGGTTCCGTTCTAATCTTATTTCATTGCACTCAATTAAAAATTAAAAATCATTATTAATATGAAAATGACAAAGTTTAAGGTACTCCCTCCGTTCCTTATTATAAGAGACAAATAACCGAAATGCGTTGATCAAAAAAATAGTTAAAATTAGTTAAGAACAATTAATGTGTAAAAAGTATAATTTTTTTCCCAAAAATGCCCTCATTAATAAGGAGAGAGAGCATGAGAGAAAACAATTAAATTATTAAAAGAAAGAGAAGTGGGAGGGAGAGAGAGTGTGAGTTGGAGATAATAAATATGGGTAAAATAGGAAATCAACACAAAAAAGTAGAGACAACTTTTAAGTGTCTCTTGTATATAGAAACATGTCATAAGCATCAAATGTCTCTTATAATAAGGAACGGAGGGAGTATTATTTAAACCTCAATATCTAACTTAGAATTTAACAACTTTCTAATCCAATTTTTATATCATTAACATGAATCAAAAAAGTAATTAAAATGATTATGAAAAATATCATCAATAGACGAGAGGAATTCGGGAAAAACCTTGAAGCCTGTGGGAAAATTGAACGCGCCAGCGCCAGACCCAACCCGAGACCGTACGTGCCGACTGGCCGCCGAAATCTTTACACCAACGTCGATCAGCAAACCTACCGCCATATCGGCGACATCCTCCGTGAACACTGTCCCCGCGCCAGCGACCTGGATTCCACGACGGCGGCACTCGGCCAACTCAATATGGTCCAATCCGACGCTGGTGGTGAGGACAAGGCCGACGGAAGGAAGTAGCTGAAGGACCTCGCCAGAGACGCGAGATCTGGGGGAGCAAAGAATGGCGCGAATGGATGAAGGGTCACGGTTGTCGGAGGCGAGAAATTGGTGCAGCGGCAGAGAAGAGGTTTCGGGGTTAAGGAAATGGAACTTGTGAGAGCAAAGTGATTGGATGAGTGGGAAGGTAGTTGGAGGACCGAGAACAAGAACTTGTGGGAGATCTTGGAGCCGTTCGTCATCCGCCATTGACGATTGTAGAAGAAGAAGGAACGAGAAGATAGGAAAGGGGAGAATAAGGTCTATATTGATCGGACTTAAAGATGTCGGTGTTGATGGGGAAGCGAAGTGAAGAGGGGGAGGAGGAAGAGAAATTTGATGTTCATTGAGACTAAAGTGTAGATAATTTGCCTCAGATCGAAGCGGAGTGTAGTGAGTTGATTGAAGACGGACGAAGAGTGGGAGGAAGAAGAGATATCCGATGTTGGTGAATGGCGATGATGACTCTGGGGTCAAGGACGCCTTCAGTTGCTAGTTGCTACGGTTTGTCTTTTCGAGTATCACAGCGAGAGAAACAATAATTAAAAAAATTAAAGTTATTTATAATTTTCTTCCATTTTTAGTTTGATGTGTGTATATGTTTAATTAAATTTTTGAACTTTATCCTGTTGGTATTGCTGCTCTCATAATTTTTTCTCTATTAACATTATTAATTTCTATATAAGAACTACTATATTAATCGACAAAATTAAAAAATTCGATTAAGAAAAAAATGTATAGGCATAAAATTAATTTTTTTTAGAAAAAATATGGGTACCTGTAAAATAATTTTCCAAAAGAAAACGATGAAAAGATGATGAAAAAGAAACTGAAGATGGAAAAGCAAGGTTGGGGGTTTGTTTAAATTAATATCAACAAAAGTCACATTTATTTTAATTAATTTGTATAAATTGAATTTGAGATAAGAATTAATTAGTGTTTTGTGATTTTGGAAGTATTTTTACAAAAAAAGCCAATTGAATAGAAATTTATTTAAATGATATATTCACAGTTGAGTTTTAAAATATTCAAATTAAAAAAAACGTTTAAAGTAAAATATCCAAAAGAATTGTTTTAACTTTAATTTTATTTTTTATCTAAAAACTCATTTTCTTAAAAGTTATTCTAAGCATCACATGTTAAACTAAAGTATTCCTCTGATCCTTAATATAAGACTCATTTAATTAATTTGATTAGATTAAAAAATTTAAGTAAATTAGTTAATTGTAAGAAAAGTGACACATTTTTTTCTAAAATACCATAATCATCTTTCTTAATATCCCTATCTCTCTTCTACTTGATCAAGGTTGAGGGAGTATCTATAGAGGTAATTTAGAGAAAATTAATAAATATGAGAAATGGGTCTTATATTTAAGATCAAAATCAATTAAAGAATTTGGTCCTATATTAAGGATCGGAGGAGTAGTATTTTCTTGACTTTGAAAAAAAAAAACAGACAATTATAGCTTTGAGAAGCCTAGCGGTGAGAAGAGGTAGAGCTCGGCTGCAACATATTGATGGGCTCAAGTCGGGGTCCAATGGCCCCATTAAGAAGATGGGACTCCTTTTCGAGCCCAAAGACTCGGACAAGCGGAATTTATAACCCCAATTGGATGGGCCCGTGAATTTAAGGTAAAAAATGCAACCTTCTAATTATTTTTATCATTTTGTATTATAAATAAAAGCTAAGTGTAGTAAAAAAAACTAGTTCCTCGTAATGTGACAAATTAAAATTCTAATTCTGTTAAAAGAGGTGCTCATATTTAATACTCAACAATATCTCAAACAAGATTGGATCTTATATTTATGACCAGAGATAGTATACTACAAAGAGGGGTAAGATTGCACAAAAAAGTTATAAGTAAAATTGCACCACTAAAAAATTGGAGTACTGGGTGCACTTTAGAAATAAGATCAAGAGTAAAATTACATCTCTATCATTTCTTTTTCAAGTAGGGGATAGTGTATTTAAATTGACTTATAATGACAGACGGTTAGTATTAGTATGTCTAAATTAAAAAAAAGGGCAAAATTATTTATGTATAAAATCTCAATTCTATTTGTCTTCAAAATTTATAATTTCTATACGAAAATATCCATACTAATAGTAAGGAATTCCCACTAATAATAGTTCTAGTACATATGATTAAAGAGGATTATTTAGAAAGGTCATTAAACATTTGTTATAAATAACTAATTTAATTAATTTTTTTAATATCCGTAAAAATATAGTTATATCACTCTTATATTCTTATGGTAAGTACTGAGATAATATTAATCTAAATTGAGTAAGATTAGACTGCATGATGAGTATAAAATTTTCTCAGCAGCGTTTTACCGAAAAGAATTCTGGGTAGCGATTTTCTTTAAAAAAATGTCACAAGGTATCTTTGCTTCAGAAGCTGTGATGGTGGCATTGCCCCCACAAAGTCACAGAGATGCCCTTGCATTAATTAGCGGTGAGCTTACCGAAATAAAACCTTCTTAAGGAAACCAGACACCACCATGTCATTGGTACGTAGAAGACAAAAAGCATCTCGAAAATGAATCTTTATCACCACGATGCTCATTTAATGCCCTCGTTGAACATCTCATGTTTTTCCCTTCTAACGTGGTGAAATATCTGTTCCTTCTCCCATTTTTTTATCATCTTCTTCAAAGTTTCCTGATTTCTCAGAGAAACCCAAACACGACAAGTTTCTCCGCGGATAGCCTCACCTTCCGAGGGAGTCAACTCAACTTCTTCTAAACATGCATGCATGAAGAACATCACATATATATAACGGACATATATTCATGATCCCTTTAGAAAACTAAATAAACATTCATCTTTTGCTTCAAGGCCATAGAGTTAGTTATATATATATTATCTGCATCAGAATCAAAAGGAAAAATGCAGAAACCTTATTATATGGTGTGTGTGTGTGTGTGTGAGAGAGAGAGAGAGAGAGAGAGAGAGAGAGAGAGAGAGAGAATGTGTTGAGGAAAATACTATATAATAAACATTGAGAAGGAAAAATAATGCATGCATAGGTGAGCGTCATGGCCATGAAAGGAGAGCTGTTTTGATTTGTAAGACGAGAAAGGAAGCATAGAATCATGTGAGGGCAATTAATGCAGGAGGGCCAGGAAGCTTTAGGGTTTTCTGCGCCCACCCTACAACTCATACAAATTTCAATATTAATCCCTTCTTCTATAAGCGAGCTTCATTTATAATAATCCCTACAACTTCACCGCATGTCAGGAATCTCATTAAAGTCTCTGTTGCCCTACTTCTGTTTTCTTTCTTCTCATCTTTTGTTATTGCTAATTTGCTATACTGATTTCTGATTACTTAAATGGTGGTGCTTTTGCTGCAGTTTATTACTTTCTTCGTCCCCCATTTTCTTGTCCTCATTTAAATTTTCACCTTGTTTCTAAATACCGTACCCCTCTATCTAGTCTTGTTTTTAAGGTGGTGAGAAATTTTTTTAGTCCTATTTATAAGTCCCGTAATTAAAATTTTAACATGAATGTTCTCTTTTAGCTTTCATTTATATTGTCTAGATTATTTTCTTAAAAAGTATATATATTAAGTTAGGATAAAGTTGAAAAGTTATTAAATTTTAAGATATATTTAATTAAATTTAAAATTTTTCTTAATCCTAGTGAAACATATTAAAAGGAGTACTTATATGTTGGAGTAGAGGAGTATATACCTTCTCTCAGATTACAAGGTATAACTTGTTACTTGTTTTTAATAGTAATAGTAATATTCTTGTTAGATGAAGGACATTAAGTAAAGATTCAAAATAGTTTGGTATTAAAAAAGGACAACTAAAAAAGAAAAAATAACTCTTACATAGCATATATATTTTGCTTTAATTTCTTTTTTATCTGAGTATTTATCATCAACAAGCTTAGTTTTGATTAATTATTTTACGTCTGGATGGCCAGGACACGTATCAGAGAGGCATATGCGAGCGAGAAATGTTGTTCCTTGATTAACGTCAATTGAGGTTCATCTTTAACTTTCCATTGACTTTGAGTTAAAGACTACTTTGCCTCTAAAATTTGTATATGACAAGAATTTTGATATTTGAGGGGTAATATTAATTGCCCCGAAAATAATTTAGGATACCTAGTATCCTTTACAAATAATTCGAAGATAAAAAAAACCCTTTATTTGTTTTATTAATTTTAGTTAGGATTATCAAGTATCAACATAGAGTTAGTCTAATAGTGTAAAGTCTCACTAGATTTTTTTGAGTCTCAAGGGCTGCCACAAATTCTAAGCCCCGAATTATAGTATAAAAAAATTTTCAATTGGGTTTTGATGAGCACTTCATCTTAGAATTGAAAATAAAAATGCATAAAAATGCATACTTTAATTAGTATTGATATTTAGGTAAAGGAATGCTAATTTTTTAGTTAGTGCGACAATGGACAAGCTCTTTAAGCCTTAGCGCAGCTAGCCAACCATTCAAACAACTATAGTTAATAAATTGGATTTAATAGCAACAATCAAATCCGAATCAGGGTTTGGTAATGATGGAAGGAAGCTCATGTGACCAGCCTCCATTCAAGTTGTGAGAAAGAAAATAATATAGAAAGCACGCTTGGTTTGGATTGTTAGCAATTTGTTGATATGGAGGATCTTCTATACTACATATGACCAACTCATTCAAAGTTTGCCTCGACTTCTTATAAGTGAGTCAATACTTGAATTAATCAATGAATTGTGTGGATCAATAAGCATTTAATGAAAGAGAGAGAAAGGTGGGAAACAAACATTCACATTGAGCCTAGCTCCTATCTCATATACTATTAACCACCTTGGTGCTTGCAATTCAACTTAATGTGTCTGACTTTGAACTCAGAGAACCATGGAGAAGAGTTTGTAATTAGTGTAAATTTATTTTACCCTTCTCATTTGATGCATCATCCAGATTACTTAACACACAAATAATCAATGTTTAAGTGATAAGGATTAGTGAGAAATTTGTACTGGAGCAAGCACATGGTGAGTGTTCAGAGTCTAGACTTTGTGTGAATAGAAGGTTGTTATGAGTTAATTAAAGCATGATATGTCACAGAATCTTCTCAAATTTTCAGTGTGGTTGACGATTTCATGAGCATATATCTATGTGTATATATTACTCTCTCTGTTCTTATTTATAAACTTTAAATTTGAGAAAGGGTATGGTCCATTTTGTAAACTTTAATTTGAGATTTGTCTTACTCCTCCGGTCCTAAATGTAATACCCTTATACACACTAGTATAAGGGTCTTATATTTAGGATCGGAAGAGTAACATTTAATGCTCTTTTTTTTTTCATTTTTGTCCTTAATTATTTATTCTCTTTCATTTATTATACTCTCTCTATCACATTTTTCCACACGTTGTTTTTTTATCATTTTTCTTATTTATTATAAAGATATATATTTCTAACATATTTATTGTTTTTAATTAATTTTAACTAACAATTCGTATTCATGAATTAATTATTTGAAATTTATAATAAGGACTGAATGAAGTATTTCTAGAACACTGTAAGGTTTTGAATTAGTTAATTTTGAACATAAACCCCCCACATGGATTGGAATGTGACAAAGGATTTCTAGTGTGTACATATGTTTGAAAAAATCTAATGACAACCACTGTTGAGAACGTGTCCCAACCGATTTCAATTTCTATTCAAACGCTTCACATGACCGTAGATCTCTAATAATACTCCACACAGCTATGCCTTAAGCAAAATATGGATATACTGCAATTGAATAGTACCGAATAATTACTTTAATCACAAGTTCACATAAATATGCAATAAATCATACTAACGTACCAAAGCAATTGTTTAGTACGAAGATCAAGTTAAGGAATCAGATTCATTGCGTTTTAATCATTTGTTTTGAATGGTCTCTTAGTTATCATCTTACCATCGTGTTATGTCATTTATTATAAATATTAAGTGAAGTTAGATATGAATAAATAATAGGTTGATAACATTTTTAAAAAATTGCACAACAAGTGTGACATCAGAACTCGTAGCCGTCTATAAATAGAGAAGCTATGAATCTCATTTTGTCACCGCTCTGTTTTTTTCTCCTTCCTCTGTTTTTCCAAAACCAAAACTCTGTTCCAAATGGGAGGCACTTCCCCTTGTGCTTCATGCAAGTTGCTACGACGCCGGTGCGCGAAAGATTGCATCTTTGCTCCTTATTTCCCTTCCGATGACCCTCAAAAATTCGCCATCGTCCACAAGGTCTTCGGCGCCAGCAACGTCGGCAAAATGTTGCAGGTTATACCTCCTAACTTCCCTCTTTCTTCTTCCTTTCGTCAGTTCCTTGTTCTGTAATAACAGAGAAGACGACGAAACTGATGATTCTTTTTGATGTTTCACAGGAGCTTCCAGTTCATCAGAGAGCAGACGCAGTGAGCAGCTTAGTGTATGAAGCAAATGCAAGAGTTCGAGACCCGGTTTATGGGTGTGTTGGGGCCATATCGTATCTGCAGAATCAAGTTTCAGAGCTTCAAATGCAGCTCGCAGTGGCTCAAGCAGAGATCCTGTGCATCCAGATGCAGCAGGAACCAGAACCAGAGCCAGTGATGGAAAACCCAGAACTTGACCCCAATCAGAAACCTTATTTTCTCCAAAACGACATCCCTCATCATCATCAGCACCTTAACTCTGCGTCTTCCACCAGCAATGTAATTCAGGACTCTCTCCAGAGAGAGAGCTTCTTTGGACACGACATGGTTTCTTAACTTGAATTCCTCCCTTCGTTTTTGGTTCCAAGTTATGTTTCTTTTCATGGAATATGAATGGGTTCTGTGCAGTTCTTTTATTATTTCCAACTCTGATTAATTTGGACAGACCAGGGCAAAGCGGAATTAATTCGTATGGGTCAACTCTAGCATGTGATTTAAGTACAAGTGAAGTAAATTAAAGTGGCGTCTTAATCAGTAAGCTAATAATTAAAGCGCTTGCATGATTATATTAAGGCAAAGAGATGATCATGATATTGAAAAGAAGAAAGAAAATCACGAAGCCTTATATAGGAAATATTAAAACTTTTGTTTAGAAATTTCGTAGCTGTTCTGATTACAAGAAAATATCTCCAATTCTGATAACATTAAAACCATATTCAGAATATATTCTTCTGCGTTGACGTAGGTCTATGCATTTCTTTCTACTTATATATATAGTTTTCACTTTTCAATAAATATATTTCTTGTGCTTTATTTTTCCAGCATAATCTGTGATGTTTCCCTTAATTTCATGTTGTCTAAGCTGTCAATTACCTTACAAACTATAACGTCAGCAACAAATGTGTTCAATATTCAGATGAGCTTCTAATTCAGTTCAGTTCCTTCTAGCTGGTTCACGTGGGTCTCTCTGCAAGAGAGTGCTCATTAATTAGTTAGCTAATGTGCAGGATTATATATTATATGAACTTCCTTTTAAGTAATTGCTTCTTTAAATCCATCTCTCCAAACAATTACATGTCCTAATCAATGGGCTATTTTGAAATGCAAAGGATTAAATTAAATAAGCCAAAGCCGCAACCACCGACTTTTTTTTGGGAGAAAATATCAAAGTAAAAAGATAGGTTGAAAAATGAGCTTAGGATCTCATCACCAGCTTTTGTTTGTGGTTGAAGCAATATCCAGGTCAAACATGCCCGGAACTCATATTTGATGATGCCTATTTTGTTTAAAAATTATTATAATAATTATTTATAGATAATTGTAGAAACTAATTTCTCTTTGGACTAAAAAAAAAAAAAGAATCTTCCAACTACAATTGCTTTTATACATGAATTTTGAGAATTGAATCTCCAACTATTTACTTACACAATAAACAAAAGCTTCCAACACTCACTTTTTAATTTGGTGTTATTTCTTTCTTATTAATTTCCCTTGGTTAAGCCGTTGATCTCTTTTTTGTGTGTGTATCTGCTACGCATAGTCTTCCAATAATCAACATTTACGAACTAATTAAGCTACCAGATATATAGTCTTCTCATATATCTTTTTTTCAAAAAATTATGATCATGCTGCTCAGATTGAATGTATGATTTTGCTCTGCGTATGATTCATTTCTTTCTAATATATTATCAATTTTCTGCTGTCTTTGTTAAGTAATTAATTACAGGCTTAGTCACCCAAAACTCTATATAAACAATATAATAAAGGGTTGCATCAAATTTGACCCGCCAAAAATGGTATAGTGGGGCGATATGGTATTAAAATAAGGAAAAATTGCAATTATCCTCGTTAAATTTTGCATGCAATTAAAGTGTCCTCCTAAATATTGGAATTGGAAAAATGTAATCAACCTTTTGATCGATTAGTCTCCTGACAATGAAATTATTGTCAATAAAACTTGATTGATTGATTGTTATTAATCTCTTGTTTGTTTGCCTTTGTTTTTCCTTATCTGAGGAATGAACGAAAATGAGAGTCTAATAATAAACTACTCCTCCGATCTTTAATATAAAACCTATTTAACTAATTTGATTAAATTAAGAAAGTTAGGTAAGTTAGTTAATTATAAGAAATATAACATGTTTTTCCTAAAACACCATAATCATTTTTCTTAATATTCCTTCCCTCTTCTACTTGATTATTGTTGAGGGAGTACCCATAGGGGTCATTTAGTAAAAGTTGATAAATATGAGAAATAAATCTTATATTTAGAATCAAAATTAACTCAATGATTAGGCCCTATATTAAGGATAGGATAAGCATATTCGCAGCAGAAGGAGATAATAATTTGATGGAGGAATTGCCAGACGGTTCTCATCAGAAAAGAGATTAGAAAGGAGACAAATAATAAAGGTCGAATCTAAATCAAGAAACTTCGATTTGTGGGATCCAAAAAAAAAAGGAACAATGGAGGTAGAGAGAAGACTCTGATTAGCATGACCAAAGTATAAAAATGGCACGGCAAGTTAAAATGCAAGAAAAAGTCAAAAACATATCACTGTTCAGCTGTCATGATCAATTTCTTGCTCAATAATGAGACAAGAGCAAGTGATAGTGCCACAGTGAGAATCCCTCTGATATTTTGGAGGAAGGTACGATCCAGAAGAAAAGATTTTCTTTAATTTTGAGCTTAAGATTTCATTTTTCGCTTATCCAATCTTTGTCTTTCTTCTTAATCAAAACTAGTAGTAATATATTTTCCAGAACTTCGCTTCCATTCTAAACAAATACTGCTGCTGCGTAATGTTGAAGCTACGTCTTGGGAGTTTTTCCAGAATTTTCCACCCTACAACCTTGATACCAACAGAACAGTCCAGGTTTTGTATAGCATAGTAAACACACAAAAATAGGAACGTCTCTAAAATTAATGTTGTCTCATCTTATTTAACTTGGTGACCCTGTCATGTATTTTTTGAGTGTTGTTGCCTAACTAGCTCTAATGAGTCTCCACATCCAATTCACCTAAATTTTTTCTCAGAAAAAAGAAATAAATATTTCAACAATAGATACCATGAAAAACAGAAAATGAAAAATATTCATACCCCATGCACTGTATGAATATGTAGAAGATTCAGCCCTCGTTAAATTCAGAAAGAACCATCAGTGGTCAGTGGAAACTTCAGTATTGCCGCAATTAACGGGTGGAAATGATAAATATGCTTATTTCGGGAGAATGAGGAACATATATAATCTAAATTAACAAGTTATTGTTAAATGACCATGTTCGTGCTTGGCGCAGCCTTAAAATTACATTGCTTCTTGGACTGGGGATGCTGGCGGAATAAATTCATTCAGATTATTTTTGGACAAAATTATAAGTACATATTTATGTGCATTATCATTTATTGGGGGAAAAAACAGAGACAACAGGATGCTTCATAGATATTGTAAAAATAAGAAAATTTAAGTAGATCCAACACCCTAAAATATTTTCTCAGGTACATCCAGCATCCTGAAATATTTTTCAGGAGTGTCACAGTTTTTTTTTTCATCTTAGTACTGAATGAATAAAAAAAAAATTTAAGGTGCTTGACAGTTGACACACCTAAAAATATTTTAAGGTACTAAACACACTTAAAAAATATTTCAAAAATATTTTAACATTTAGATGCATCACGAAATACTTCAACGTAATAGATATACCCAAAAAAAAACATAAAACCCTATATCCATTCAAAAAACCCCATAACATCATGCATTTATATGAAAACTTGATATGAAATCAATCTAAACATGATTCTTTAGCCTCTCCCCTTTTTTTTTTGTCGAAAATTTGAATAAGGATTTGAAGTTGATGAAGCTTACATGGGGAAATTACTCAATTGCTTTCGACCAGTTCAAATATCAAAACCTGGCAAGCTTATAGGCTCGGATAAGTCGTAGCATAGCGTCGGATGATTTCCAAAGAAAACCAACGTACTGCATAGAAGAAAAGATGCTAGCATGGTTAAATTACTTCCCTGAAGGAGACCACATTTTATGCTTTCTGCTACATCTGACACCCATAAAGATTAAACAAACTATATCTAAACTAAATAGTTAATACAACTATATCTAAACTAAATAGTTAATACCAATTGCTGCTTAAATAAGAAGTATAAATTTTGGATGGAGTTTGTCATTGGTGCTGATCCTTGATAGGGATTAGCAGGGATCTCCCTCTCATCCAAACTGTCGCTTGACAAGTGTCTGCATTATGTAGCTCTTTCATTGTACAAGGTGTCGTTACCTTCCGTCCATTGGAGCCCTATCCGGATGGTCTTCAAAGTGATCCAAACACCATTACAAGCATTAACAATGAAAGCAAGACATATCCAAAATCCTTTCAGATAATAGCGGAGAACCAATTGATCAATAATGCCATAATGTCTCGGCAATATTGTGGATTTTAGACACATCCCTCAGCATCGTATTTTGTATGGTTTAAGGGCACTCTTAAACCATTCTTGTAGGGGCACTAGGTACCCTAAACTACCAAGTGGTGCAATATCCCCCCCCCCCCCAAACTTATAAATACGTTGCAATTTGTCCCATCAGCATCCCATAACATCCTAATCAGCATGAGAGGCAGGGACCTTCAAAGCTCAAAGTAATTCTTCAGTGCCTGTTAATTTAGCATACTCATCCTCATCTATAGTTCCTTTTTTCAATTTTTTCCACAGCCGATATTCTTGCATGAGCTCATCTTCATCTTCAACTGACTGCTGAGCACGTCTCTGTTTAGCGGTTTTCTTTCTTGTTACAGGGGCAGCTTTTGGGGTTTTGTTGGGTTTCTGAGGCTTCGTCTCTTTCTCTTTGGCTTCTTTCTTTGCTTGCAGGTTTTGCTTCCTTTGCTTTTCACGAGATTTATCCCTAAACAATAATGATGATTTATGCATTTAGCAAGGGCTAACAGGGGAAAAGTACCAAGTGTTTTAAGAAATAATGCATAAAAAATACTAGTAGTAATTCCAAGCACGCACACACCCCGGGATATTAGAATCTTGCATAGTGATGACAATAGTTTTTATCTTTCTAATTATGAAGCTTAAGATATAATTTAGAGCTTAAATCAAAATAGCACAACTACAGTAAGTCTTCAGTGCATAGAATGAAATGAAAAATGGAAAGTGGGGGGAAGATTTTTATGGATGCGACCATCAAGTCTCTACTTTAATTAGAATTAGATAATGTTAGGCAATGATAACAAGAGTATGACAGCCATCGTAAAAAAGATGATAACAAATTGATTTCCATCACCATACCAAACGAGTCATAACTGTGTTTTCTTCTACCACACCCTGGGTATAAGGAACGGGGATCTACCAATTAATTCTTATTAACACTAAACTAAATTAAATAACCTCCAAACCCTGATACCCATGGAGCTAGCTGGGAAACTTTTCCCTGGTAAAAGTCATATTTAGTGAACACAGAATGCTGGCACGGTGAATACAATTGATGAAAAACATGATCGAAGAAGTACCAATGCCGAAACAGACATGGAATATGGTGCAATACGGATACTGTGACATGATAAGGTGTATAGTATCTAAATACAATTTGAAGGGTCAAATATGCATCAAACACGCTATGACTCTATTTTTTAAGCCTCAGTTCTTTATGGATGGTGATCAGAGTCAACTGAAGAGAGGGGTTATAAATTTAAGCTATATAATCATTTCTTCTACTTGAGAAATATGGGTCCAGGTGATGCTATCAGCCTCAGAAGGTTTAAAACAAGAACAGGGGAAATTTTTTAACCTGTACTTAATGTCCTCCAAATTAATGTCTTCAACTGGTACAAAACCTTCCTTGGACAATGACTGCTGTTTTAACTCTGGCATCGAAGGAAGCTGCAGTAAGCCATAGCCCATGGCCAACTTACCAATTTCAAGTTCTTTCCACCTATAACAAAGAGCGATTACATACGTTTAATAACAATGACTTGTGATGATGAACAGAAAATGCTTTGAAGACAAACAATAATCACCTAAAAATATAGGAGCAGTGATGTTCTTTATAAGCACGAATATAAGAAACAAATGCCCTGAGTCCTTTCTCCATTACATCACGATCTTTTTTGGCAGCGGAACGAATCTGTAACAAGTTGTGATTTGCAATATTGGGGTCACAATGTTGAAAAATTTTAAATTTAAGTTGCATATATCATTATCCAATTTGTGATTTGAGAAAGATGGAAATGGTAAATGATTAGCTTGGAGCTGACCTCGGGAACAACATCAGATGCATCATTAGAGCAACTTCTCTCTTGGAGGGGCACTCTTCTTACACGCAGGAATTCTACATATGATTCCTCCTACTTACAAAAATAATTGTTTTACAATGGTAGAGGAAGTGTAAAATTATAACAAGGGGGAAGGGGTTAAAACAAGTGTATACATCTGACCATACCTTTGGCAATAAGAAGACAATAGCGTGTCCTTTTTTGCCAAGCCGAGCAGTTCGCCCAACTCTATGTATGAAAACATTTGGATCTTGTGGAGGATCATACTGTACAGCATTTGAACATCATTTTAGGATTTAATTTGATAGCAATAAATAATTGCAATTAAAATAAAGAAGATAAAGCACAGCCTACAGTAAATGGCAGCATTTACATAATTGCAAATCTACCTGCACTATACAATCAACTCCAGGTATGTCAAGTCCACGTGCTGCAACATCTGTACATAGAAGTATTCCATTTGAAAGAGATGTAAATGACGCCAATGCCTTCTCCCTAGCAGCCTACATGGCAAAGTATAATAAGCAAGGAGGCCAACAAAAAGTTAAAATTATAGAATAGTAGACAATGAGGAGAACAACAATGACACAAGAAATACTGAACTTCAACAATGACTAATGTTAAAAGCCAATTTTATACCTGCTTCATCTTCCCATGAAGAGGGATCAAGGAGAAACTTTTCAAAGCAGAAAGGCGAGGCAGGACAAGTCCCCAATAATCAACACAGGCACAGGTCATGAAATATCTATATTGGAAAAGAAATTGCCTGAGTAAGATGACTTGTTCCATCATTAAAATCATATTAGTATAAGGTACATATCTCACACTATCATTTTTTTGGAGCGGTTCTTCATTAAGATATCAACAAGCTGTGAGGGTTTCTTTTCAGCCTCACATTCTATATACTGCAAACTCAAAAGGAAAGGAAGAGGATCAATTTAAAACCATAGGATCAATATAGAAAATATCAAGCATCTTCTAGCCATTCATGAAACGTGATATATAAATTTTGGTAAGAACGCAAGAGGCCCAATGCAACAATCAGTCCGAATTGTAGCTTAGCAAGCATTGTACCTCAATCTGAAGTCCTGCAGGTGTCCTTGAAGAGGTTTGTTGTTGTGATGCTGCTGGGTCATTTACCGATTTTGACTCTGCCCGGACTTCAACCCTCACAGGGTTCCTCAGCCCAGCTTTAGAAAGCTCTTCAACAGCCTCAGTTTGAGTAGCAGAGAATAGACCTGTTCTGCGAAGCTTTGGTAAGAGAGATATAATGGAATTAATCTGCTTCTGGAATCCCATATCCAGGAGTCTATCAGCCTCATCTAAAATTAAAATCTGGAAGAATAAAGGTAATCCCAGTTATCTCCTCTGACTAAAGTGAAGATAAAACACCTACAACGTGAAGATAAAACACCTACAACATTCTATCATTTTCATTCAAGTAGGACTCAGAAACCCCAATACTCTTTTAAGGTATGATTTACAATGAAGCATATACCTCGAGGCTTTTAAAATCTAATATATCCATTCGATCCATGATGTCATGTAGCCGCCCAGGTGTGCCGATCAATATGTTAGCTCCTTCTTCCTCAATTTTCTTCATATCTGCTTTTACGTCCACTCCACCAACAAGGAGCATGGACTTAACATTAGCTAAAGTTTTAATGAAAGGTTGAGCAACGTGATATATTTGAGATGACAGCTCCCTTGTGGGAGATATAATTATTCCAAATACCTACAGAATAGAAAATGGAAAAAAAAAATCATTAGAGGCAATAAACAAATTAAAACCTCCCACCCTTTCTCTCTCAGTGAATTTCAATGAAAATGCAACAAGCTGCAGTTACGGTCTTCAACAAACAAAAGAAGGGACTGCTATCGCCCAAATTTGGGAACAGATTAAATGGCAAGGAAATTCATATCCTCTAATATCTATATTAGAAATCTCATATCATAGTGGGTATTCTTATTTTAGTCAGCTCATTTTTCTGAGAAATTTGAAGAAATGAACATATCAACCGCGACCAAGTTTAAGATAGACATGTAAAATATATTTGCCAGCATATCAGCAAACCAGCAAAGCGACCAATGCTGTCAATTTCTCTACAGCCCACTTTACAACTTAAACCAATATTCTTTTTTATTTTTATTTGCTTCGTTTTATTCGAGTAGCAATGCCGTCAGCACACATAGGGGGAAAAAAGAATTTATATGAACCTGATGAGGTTTGGGATTGGAACAGGACCGGCGGAGAATCTCAACAAGTGGAACGACAAATGCCAGAGTCTTGCCTGAACCGGTGGCAGCGTCGACGGCCACGTCCTTAAAACTGCATAGCAAAGGTATGGTAGCGGCTTGGACCGGCGTGCAAAACTCGAAGCCCGACTCTGTTAGCGCTTCGAGAACCAGTTCAGAAAGTGGCGGGTTCAGCTCAGAAAATCGCGTTCTCGTTAAGGCTTTGTTGGGAAAGTCAGACTCCATGGCTTCAGAGCTCTCACAGGGCTGCTTGTTCGCGCCCTGATGGAGCAGGAGACTAATGCCGTTCTTGCCTTCGGTTGATTTTGCTGCTATGTCTCTCGCTCGCTAGGGTTTTCAAAATTACACCTTGTCACGCAAGTAATGAAAAATAACATAAACGGCCCTCTTCATTGACAAAGCTCCGTGCGATTATATAAAAAGAAATGGTGTACAAAAACTTTCTAATAAAATCAAAATTTTTCTTTACAATGCTTGAACTACTATTTATTTATTTAAAAAACCACTACTATGGATAGTTAAAAATTAAAAGTGTAAACATCAATGTATTTTTTTTGGGTCAAATAAACGCCAATGTATTTTACTACTCACATCAATGTTGAATTAGATTTTTTTTTCCCATGGCATTAGATATTCTTTAACGTATATGGTGGCCTTTTTCTATTAAAAAAAAGGGAGACACGCGTATATTCTTCACATATATTCCAATACTACTTAAATTTGCAACTGGATGTTGAAAGGTGTAATTGTTTAAAATAAATCTACAATTGCTAGTCTTTAAAACAAAAATTAATATAGGAGTTTTGAGAACCATTTCTCATGTATGAATATTCTAGATTTATAAAACCATATAGATGCCACCAGATTCAAGTTTCATCATGCCGTCTCCCCTGTAATCATTTGTCTGGACAAGTTTAATCATCTTGGGAAGGTCCGAGGATTATATTAGCTCTGAGAAAAACTGAGACGGCGTATATAAGTTGCAAGGGTTTCTTCCCACAAACAAAAATAGCATAGGGACTAAATTATAAATTGCTGCCCAGTGTTGGGCTTTCGTGTTTAATTTTTCATAAAAATTCCTACACGAGTTTGCAAACGCGAGCACATGGCCCGTGAGATATCCTGAACCAACTGTGAATGATAAAACGGACCGTTACAGAAAAGCCCGATAATAGTCCCCACTGGATCTGGGGAAAAGACCAGCAATATACTTCCAAATGTTTAATTTCGCCAAAAACCCAAAAGAGTTAATTGTGGCTTCTTGTCTCATTAATCATGGGCTTGTCTCATTAATCATGGGCTACGGTCTAGTAAAAAGAGTTTATCTCTCACAATACGACGAAATCAAAGTTCAAATCTTATTCAGAAGAGATGCCAATATTTGGTACCTAATAATGTCTCAAATAAAATTGCCTCTAATAGAAGGATATTTATATTTTTAAGGGAAAAAAAGGGTTAGTCCTCACAATATACTCCTCTGGTCCTTAATATAGGACTCAATTGTTGAGTTGGTTTTGGTCCTAAATATAAGAACCATTTCTCATATTTATCAATTTTCTCTAAATTACCCCTATGGATACTACATCAACCATAATCAAATAGAAGAGGGAGATGGGGTATTAAGAAAGATGATTATGGTATTTTAGAAAAAATGTGTCACTTTTCTTATAATTAACCAACTTATCTAACTTCCTTAATCTAATCAAATTAGTTAAATGGGTCTTATATTAAGGACCAGAGGAGTAACGAAATTGAATTTGAATTTTTGTTAAGAGGAATATCTATATTTAGTACCCGGTAATACTTTAAAAAAAGTTGTTTTTAGTAAGAGAATAACTGTGATAGCAACCAAAAAAAAACCAAGTTATCAGGTCCATATTTTAGTAGTTTTTTTTTTCGATGACATTTTAGTAGTTATTTTTTATAACAATAGGTAGAGGGAGTATATTGACTTGAAAGTTAAATATGCCGATAGCATGTTTCATCAACCTCACAGGTAAAGGGGACATGGAAGTTGCCAAAGAGATGGACTCCTCAATTTCTCTGCGGCGCATAGGCCAACTAACAGATTGAAGCAAGTAACACATATGAACGTAGATCACTTCCAAAATTAACTCAAATATAAGCAGTCAAATGGATTGATTATGGATTAGGAATCTCGGTTAGTTGGAGAAAAATCATTAATTAATTGGAATTTAGTTGATCAATCATGGTCCAGCGCGAATGTCCAGCACATAATCCGCCAATGACACTAAAGTCCACATGAGTAAGTTGCACATGAAAGCTAAATGCGACCTAATACATTTTTCACCTGCCACGTACCTAAACTCCAAATCCTTTTTTTTTAAAATAATAATAATAATAATAATATTATTATTATTAACACCAAACTTAGACTTTTATTTTCTTTTTAACACCAACAAGATTTTGGAGAGATTGGATTCTATGAGTGCAAAGCTTTTTCTGCGACTATTATAAACATGGATTGAGCCGAGTTAAAGTTGAATTATAATCACAAGTGCAGAGCCTTTTCAGCAGTAATTGTTTTTTTGTATATACATATAAACCCTTTTCGTTTTGTTTTGGCCAAAAAACCCTTTTTATGTTTTTAAATTACAATAAAACATCCTCGAATTTTACGCTAACCCCATGTTCTCACCACGCACTGTTGTAACTCACATCCTCCAACCCTGCTTTCCAGGTTGCATGGTTTTATCTGTTTTTATATTATTTTGTTTTTTAAATTCTAATTCTGCCAGCGTTACAGATAGATTATTCCAGACCAATGAGTGGAATGCAGAAGGATGCCTGAAGGTAGTGGAAAATGTCTGCCCATTTTATAAACAATAATCTAAACATTCCTTCTAATTCTTAATGTTACCTCTAATCCTGATTATAAGATATTGTTTATAAACTATAAAAGAAATCTTATAATTAGGATGGGAGGTAATACTAATATAAGAATTAAATACCTAATTTGTGTATATTAAAAAATTAGTTAAATAAGAAGGATGCCTGATTTTTTTATGTTATCCTTTTTAAATATGCACGTTGTAATTAACCTTCACAAAAAACTTTATTATATGAAATTAATAGGGATATTAAAAAATCTAAATTTAGGAATCAAAATAGATTGAGATTTTATGTTTGAGATGAACACGAATTGCTATATGATCAGTTTAACAATAATCCCCATTCATTTTCAATTTTTTTTTTTTCGTTTCAAAAAATAGCTTGCGCGGAAGGCAAATGAGGCACTTGATTAAAAAAATTAGGGGGAATCACTTACCTAATAAATCACATGCATCAAACCACCTCAATTATATAGGGCCATGTTCATGCCTGATGCAAGGAAATACTTGTATATTTGCTGTGATTATTTTAATGAGAATAATTACGTTATACTCCACAAACAAGAGTTAATGTGAATCAGAATAAAAAGATTAAATTGTCCGGTCAAAGATAATAAGTTGGGAAATTTGGTACAAAATTCCTGTTTAAAAATTTAACTAGTTAAAAAGATTTAAATTTGAGAGCATGCAACTATATGATCCGTAAGTATAACTTTTTTATCCATTTTATACAACATATCTTTCACCGTGTGTAAATGATTTTTTATATTAATAATTGTTACATATCATTGATGACATGTTACACATAAGGGTGTGTTTGAATGAAACCAAACCGTGGTTTGGAAAAGTGATTCTAGAGAATAGATTCTGAAAAGAATAAGGCTCCGTTTGGGTGACACCCCAAACCATGGTTTGGGGACCCAAACCATGGTTTGGGTGATAAGTCACCCAAACACCCACTGGTTTTGGGCAAACTGTGGTTTTGGACCAAAACCATGGTTTTGGCTCCAAAACCATGATTTTGAAAAAGGCAAAAATTTTTTGCTTTTGGAGAAAAAAGGGAGAGTGTGAGAGCTTATAGGATATGAATCTTGTTATTTTTTTTATAAACATATTTAATCTTATATTTTAAAAATATATATACATATTAATTATTTATTAATTATATTATCTTATGTATTATTAATTATGTTAATAAAAAATATATTATTAACAATTTTATTCCTTCAAATTAGAATATATCATAAAATCTATTTTTTCTGTAATTATCATATTAATTTATGTCTTTTTTTAGTAATTTATATATATAAAAAGTGCTTCTGATAACACTATCCAAACTCTCTCACTTCTCAAAATCACTTTTTCATAACATTTAAAACTTGCCCCAGTAAGTTAACATGTTGAAGCTAATACTGGACCCTCGAGCTAGCTACTTGCGTCTAGCGACAGCCAATATCGACCATTTTATCTTTTGATTTTCATTCGGCCACGAGACCGGTGTTACTAAACTAACTTCTAAATACCAGATGTAGAGAAATGGGTGATCTGAAAATACTCTTTCTAAGTTCTCATGGTACAGATACGATCTGCATGATGCTGAATTGGCTAAAGGCAACGAAGCTGAATTTTGTGGGTGGGATTAATAATTAACCTCCTTCAAGCTCAAAGCTAACGCCAGTTAATCATTTGAATGAATCATAGTTTTTTCTCAAAAATTTCAGCAGAAGACCCTGGCTTCGTTGAATTTCATTCAAAATAGTTCATCCCATCAAGGCAACCCCATTAATTGTCTCATTAAAATTTAGAACGCGAGGCAGCAGGACCAAACGTACAGAATTAATGGCAGTCTTCGCAACTTAGCTTCCACACACGCGGAAAATTATTTTGTAGGCATTTATATTTTTTTCAACTTTTAATTCGATATAGAGTAGTACTGTCTTTCTTTTTTTAAATGAAATTCTTTAACTTAAAGCAAAATTAAACGATTTAATAAAAAAATAATGGCATATAAAGGTATCAAATATTCGAATTAAAATAGAGAGAGTATAAATATTTGTAAAATAACTTTTTCCTCTCACACACACACACATATACAATTACGGGGAACATCAAATTCACAATTCCGGACGAAATACATGAACTCGAAAACAAAATAAAATTGTCATGCCAAAAAAATAAAAAAGGTGAAATTGGCGAGAGAAGAAAAATGATGCTATAAATATAAAAGCAGCATACAACTAGAACAAGTAATGATAATAAAAGGTACTCGGCAAATGAACAATTTAGGGCTCCCATCCCAGGCCAATATTAATTGAGGGGGAAAGTGAGATGAGGAAGAATCCACTGACCCCAAACAGGCCTGGGTGTTCATGCAAATGAAGCCTCCGTTTTCTCGCTCTTCTCGTCTCTCTCCGCTTCTCCTCACCTTATTAGCTTTCATCCTCTTCGTCTCCG